TGGGATCATAACCTGAGCTGAACTCGAGAGCTGGATGCTCAACCTACTGAGCCACCCAGGCACCCCTGTGAAGAGATTTATCATAAGGAATTGGCTCACATGATTATGATTGTTGGCGAGCCCAGGATCTGCAGAGTGAGTTGGCCAATTCAAGACCCAGGCGAGCCGATGGTGTCATCCCAGCATAAAGGCTGGCAGGCTGGAGAGCCAGGAGGAAACAGTTTCAGTTCATGTCCAGAGGCCAGAAAGGACTGAGGTCGGTCTCCACCAGTCAGGCAGGAGAAGTTCTCTCTTACCCAGACTCTTAATTCTATTCAGGCCTTCAACCGATTAGGTGAGGCCCACCAACACTTGGGGGAGGGGCAATCTGGTTTACTCAGGCTACACCCATTCAAATGTTAATCTCATCTAAAAACACCCTAATAGATACGCCCAGAATATTTGACTAACTATCTAGGTACCGCAGGGCCCAGTTAACTTGACACATAAAGTGAACCATCCCAAGCTGGTGCTGATAGAGGATGAATAAAGGTTTGCCAGGTGACGGAAGGCACTGGAAGGACAGGGAACAGCAGCTGCCAAGGCTTGGAAGCAAAGGCCGTACTGCATATTTGGGGGTGCTCCCCGGTAGGCGGTGGGAGCCCCAGGGCTGGGAGTAGCGCCAGCCACAAGGTGCACAGGAGAGCAGGGTGTGCGCCTGTTGGTCAGGCTGGGTTGGAGCTGCAGGGGGCGCTGTGGAGCCATCCAGGAGGCAGCCGGCTGAGCAGGGGGACAGGAAAGCGCTCTGTGCTGTGGTCAGAGCTCCAAGGCGTCAGCAGCATCTGCGTGAAGACACGGAGGGGGTGAGAGAGTCAGGGAGAAGGGCCAGAGGGAAGAGAAGGGCTGGGTGAGGACTGTGACATTCCTGACTCTCAGCCCGGCCTCCAGGAGGGCCTCTGTGACCCGGCCAGCGAGGCCTCTGAAGCCAGGCCAGCTCCTTCCCAGCAGGGCCAGGTAGGAGATTGCTGAGGACACAAAGGCAGCTCTTCCGGGGCCGGCAGCACCTACAGTTCCCTGTCTCCCGTTGCACAACCAAGTGTCAGGAAGCAGCCAGAGTGGACTTCCCACGTTGGGCCAATTCCCCCCTCCCCCCAAACATTGTTTGCTCTGTCCACAATGAATCAAGCCCAGCCATGGAAAGTTCCCTTCCACCAATGACCAGCTGCCCCGTGCTGGGAAAAGAAGGAAGGAATGAGGAGAAGCTGGGACCGGAATCCATCAGCCAGCCAGGGCCATGGCCTTGGGCTGGCCATGCCTTTTCTCTGGGCCTCAGTTTCTCCCTCTGCAAAATGGGGGTGATATGCCCTTCTCTGCTTGCTAGCCACAGACAGAGCTATTATCTGTAATAAGTAGGGTAAGTCATCTGGAACCGAATGATATTCAACTGCTCTAAAAAAATGCACTTGCATACGGTTCAACCCAATAACAGCACCTTTCAAAATAATGGCGGCTGCGTTTTCTTGCACACTGACCATGAATGGGAGCCCTGTGGAGTGTGACACGTTTTCATCTCATGCACAGCTCTCCTGAGAAATGTGTGACGACGCTAGCCCTTCAGATGAGGGAAGCTAAGTCCAAAGGGGTTACATAAATTGTCCAAGATGACAAAGCAGGGTCTGAACTTGAGCAAGTCTTTTTGAGTGTGTCCTCAGCCCGAACGCAACGTTCCGAATTAGGATCATTTGCTCTGCCAATGTATTCTCCGTGGCTGTTCATGTAGAACAGCGATCATGACCTGAGCCAAAATCAAGAGCGGGACTCTTAACCGACTGAGGCACCCAGGCGCCCCCTGGAAAGATTTCTGTAATGCAAGAGTCTGTCTTTTCTCCCTACCCCAGCTCGTCATTACACTGATGGTAGTGGTTATTATGACTGACAGACTCTTAGAACCAAGTTTGTCTCAGATGACAAGCATTTGACAAATGCGAGCTGATTTAATCCTCTTAACGACTTGATAAAGTAGCAACTCTCACTCTCCGAATTTTACAGATGGGAAAATTGAGGCACAGAGAGGTTAAGTGCCTGGCTCGAGGTCACACAGTAGCAAGTGGTCAAGCCAGGACAATACTTCCCCACCATCCCGCATGGCCCTGATTGCTTTTCTATTTCCTGCCAAACTTCTCCGGACATGATACCCGGGCCAGATGGAGGGGCAGGGCAGGGAGGGCTGTCCAGACCCTCCATCCATAGAGGTACTAATCCATCCTTGACATGTAAGAAGATGGAGAAAAGTATACTGTGTCAGGGGGTGTGTTGGCTGTGCTTGAAGGAACTACTTGGAGAGTAACTCCTCCTGGGGTGGGGGGCGGGTGGCAGAGAGACTCCCAAGGCACCTGGGCAATGGTGAGGACCACTCACTTCCATTTACTCACCGTTAGAGAAGCATTCATCTCCATGCTACTTGCAAAACATCTGGCCACCAAATGTAATTCAAAGATAGGGTACAAGGGGGAAGAATTGCCCCCCTGGGGTCTGAAGTGTTGGTGGCGAAGAAGGATGTTTAGGGCTATGGGTCATTCTCTGACAGTTCTAGGTACAGGATCCCGCTTGACAGAGATGCTGTGTGTGTGTGTGTGTGTGTGTGTGTGTGTGTGATATGCGAGGTCCTATAGCTCTGGGGTCTGTGCAAAAGCCCTGACATTCCAGGGTAATGGTGGTGATGTCCCCACAGAACAGGCAGCTTCTCTTTGACATAAGCAGGATGGGGCGCCTGGGCGGCTCAGTCGGTTAAGCGCCCAACTTCAGCTCAGGTCATGATCTCACAGTTCATGAGTTCAAGCCCCGCGTTGGGCTCTGTGCTGACGGCTCTGCTGCAGCCTCTGACCGCCCTCCCTAGGTGGTCACCCCCGCCCCTCCCATCTTCCCTCCTGCAGACAGAGGGAGCTTTCTGAAGGGCAAATCTGACTATTCCTCTCCCACCCTACTTAAAATCTTTCCATTCCTGTTGACACCCCGTCACTCCCGCGCCATCTCGTAGGGGCCTCCTGGTCCTTTATGCGCCCCATGCCCTCCTCTCACCTCCGCTCTTCCTTGCCAACGAGCTCCAATCCTTTTCTCAAGGCTCAGATTAGAGCCATGCAAGTTCAGAACACTCAGTGAGCTGGCAAGGAAAGAAGAAAGAAAAAGGGATTTTCACTTCTGACAAGGGTTCGGAGAAAAGGACTCGTCTGTGCGTTTCCAAATTGGCATCACATTAAACAGCGTTAGTGTTTTTTGTCTTCTCTGTTTGGGGAGAGAGTTGTGGTTTTTTTTTTTTTAATCAACTTAATTGAGGTATAATTGGCATACAATAAAACGCACACATTTTAGGTTTACGGTTCAATGAGTTTTCACAAACGTGCATTATGAGCGTAACCACCCCTGCGGTGGAAATGTGGAACAGTGCCGCCTGCTTCAGAAAGTGCTCGGACAACCTCTGGCAGCCTGACTGCCCTCCTTGCCTTGGGCAACCGCAGATCTGATTTCTACCATTATAGATTAGTTTGGGCTATTCTAGAACCTTCTACAAATGGAACTATACAGTTTGTGCTTTCTTAAGTCTGGCTTCTTTCACTCAGCATAATGTTTTTGAGATTCATTCGTGTTGTCTTACGAATCAGTAGTTCGTTCCTTTTTATTGCGAAGTAATGTTCCATTTACAAAAATGCCACAATGTGTTTTTCCATTTTCCTGATGACGGGCATTTGAACCGTTTCTAGTTTTTGGCTATTTTGAATAACAGTGTGGGTTTGTACGTGACATGTTTCTCCTTCTCTTGAATGCTATGGTAATTTTAGAAGGCGATTTGGTCACTTGTGACACTTATCAGAGAGAACATCACAATGTGAAGTGCTATGGGCAATTATAGCTCAATAACGCTGGACAAATGAAACAAAATGCCATAAGTATAAAGAGAGGACATCATTACGTATGTTGGAATCTAGGAAGCAGACAAAGGGTATGCGTCCATTAAAATGTTGACCACGAACTACACTGAAACATGAAAAATGACTTGAAATATAGGAGATGAACAAGAACATAGAATTGTAAGCATGTCATCATAAGACTTTTTGGACATATTCATTCATAGGGATAACGATCTGACGTTGGCAGGTAAAAATGCAAGCAGGTAGTGGAAATTCTCATTCTGCAGAGATGACCACTGGCCAGGGTTGGGGACCAACTGGTGAAAAGAGACGCCCACCTCCCTGCTCACATGGCAGGGGGGTGGAGACTGCATGGACATCATTTCTTGTTTTAGATGTTGGAAGAGAGTTCAGGTAATAACCACGTTTACTGGAAATAGACATATAACTTAGATGCCGCCTTCATTTGGAAACATCCCTTCCTCCAAGGCTGGGTTGCCCAAGACCATCCTCCCCACCCCCCACCCCCATCCCTGGACTTTTGCTCGTCCACAGTGGTTACCACACTCAGTTGGAATAGAATCCATGTTTTGCCCTCTCCCCAACCCTTGACCCCTCTCCCACCCCACTCCCCACACCCACCCCACCTAGCCTGGGAACCCTCTGAATCGCCATCTGCATTTGATTCATGGTTGGGTCTCCCTCAAAGTCTGAATGCTCAGTGGGACACGAATTGGGTAAAAACATAAGAGCTTTTAAAACAAAACAAAACAAAACAAAACAAAACAAAACAAAACAAAACAAAACCCGAACCTAAGAGGTTGCTTAGAGGCTTCTCTATTGAAATCTACCGTGTTTGACAACACCGCTCCGGCCCACACCCACCTTGGCTTTGAATAGGCGGACGTTGGGCTCCTGGTAATGCTTCTAGGTCAGGGCTCTCAATTATACCCAGGCTTGGAGGCTTCAGCCACAGCCGGCTTTGGGGGAAGGAGGGAACAGTTTGTGCCAGGCGTTTCGCAAGCATCACCTGACTTGTCACCAGGGGGCTCCAGGACTCCACCCACAGCTGGATATAAAGGTGACTGTACCCTCCAGCCATCAGTCCTGCCTGACTCCAGTGCCTCTCCCTGTAGGCATGGCGCTGTCCTGGGCCCTGGCTGTCCTGAGCCTCCTTCCTCTGCTGGCAGCCCAGAGCCCCGAGTGTGGCAACCTCACGGCGAAGCACATCACCAATGCCACCCTGGACCAGGTGCGTGTCCGGGGCCCCGAGCGCCGCGGGCAGCTGCCTCCCTCCCTGGGCTTCCCTTTCTCCTGCTGGCTCGCGGTCAGCCCCCTTCCCCCGCCTCCCCTACTCTGCCCTTTTCTCTCCTGCATCCTGGGGTGACATTCTGACCAGCCTCTGGGGGCATTCTTCCACTTCCAAGCCTTACTGCAAGGTCCCTCAGAGGGGACATTCTGTACTGCGGGGAGGGGCCATCCGGTGGCTGGGGGAGGTGCCTGAACCTCAGAGTGACCTCCCGCGTGTCCGCTCCTCGCCGGGGGCCCCAGTCTCCCCATGTGCAAAAGGGAGGGAGAGATCTGCCCCACTGACCCCGGAGGGATTCGGCCCTTGGCCGCCATCATCGCCTCCTGGCTTCTCCCCAGCTCTCTGGCAAGTGGTTTTACATCGGCTCGGCCCTCCGCAACCAAGAGTTCAACCAGTCGGCTAGGACAATCCAGGCGGCCTTCTTTTACTTTGACATCAACTCTACAGAGGACACAATACTGCTCAGGGAGTACCTAACCATGTGAGACCTCCCATGTGCTAGCCAGCCCCCCGCCCCAGGATCCTGCTCCGAGCTCCAAGCTCTGAGCTGCAGCTGCAGCTGCAGGGAAGTCCCTCCCGTCTCCTGGTCTCAGCCTTCTCGCACATGGAATGGGGAGGGTGGGTTCTAATCGCCACCAATTCCTGCCCCTCGATGGCGGTGGCCATTGACTGTCCACTTCTCCGTGACGGTCTTCTTGTTTTACTCCCCTCTTCATCTGTTAGAGGGAGCCAGTGCGTCTACAACACCAGCTTCTTGAGTGTGCACCGGGAGAACGGGAGCCTGTCTAAGCACGGTGAGGGCCAGCCCACCAGTGGGGGCGTGTGGGTGGGCCCGCTGAAAGAGGAGGTGCTGGGGCTAAGGCCGGGAAGGCTGTAGGCACAGAGAACACAGGGCAGGCCCACTTCCCACACCTCTGAGGTCCTGGGTCTGCACACTGCAGTAATCCCAAATAGCCACCGACATATGTGAGTTCTGTGCCAGGAACGGAATTGACACACTTAATCCTCACGAGCAACCTTAGGAGGACATTACAGTGATCAGATGAGGAAACAGAGAAACAGAGATGTCCAGCAATTTCCCTGAAGTCACACAGCCTGTCATTAGAACTAGGATTCAAGCCCAAGGCGGGCTGTGGTCCTGCCTCTCTCAACCACTCTTTCTCCTCCCGGATGAGGGTGGCAGTCTGTGTCAGGCACACAGTGACTCACTCATATCCCCACCATCACCCCAGAGAGGGCACCTAGTAGGAGCCTGCAAATGCCAATGGAATTAAACCAACAGCACTTAGCAGCCCTGAGGCTCCTGTCTGAGCCTCACTTTCCTCACCTGGAAAATGGGGAGAAAGGCCCATTTCTGAGTGCCACATCATAGCACAGGGCCGGGAGCACAGTTGGACTAGGGGCACGTGGCCCTGGTAAACCCGTGACCTTCACTCATCACCGTGTGGCACGGGCACCCCTGGGGCTCCTTGCCTACGACTGGGAACCTCTGTGCTGTGTGGTCTCACCCAGAGGTCTTCCCCTCCAGAGTTCGGCAAAGAACAATTTGGCTACCTGCTGCTCACCAAGGACCCCAAGACCTTCATGCTTGCCTTCTCCCCGAAAGACGAGCAGAACATGGGGCTGTCCTTCTACAGTAGGCATCCCTCAAACTTCCTCCACCCTGCCCAGGACTCCCTTCCCCTGCGGCCGGGCCCCGGCTCCCCCGCCCTCCCCGGCTTCCCAGCCAGGCCCCGGCATGCTCACGCAGCACCCCCCCCCGTCACTCCCGCCTGCAGCTGACAAGCCACAAGCGACCCAGGAGCAAATGAATGGGTTCCATGAAGCCATCACGTGCATGGGCTTACAGAAGTCGGAAATCGTGTACACTGATGAGAAACAGGTGAACGCAGGGAGGACCAGGCCGTGCCCACCCTCGGGGTGACCCCGCCTTGGGCAGCCCCAGGGGCCCAGAGGGGATGAGCTGCCGGCCCAGGCTGTGCAGCGAGATAAGACCTCCCACTATGAACGGCTGAGCTTCCCGGAGGCCCACGGGACAAGGGCCCAGGAGGGAAAACTCACTGTGAAACGGAGGGGGTGTGGGAGGGGCTTGGAAAGGAGGGGCACGGCGGACACACGGGTGGCCGTGGAACATGACAGAGCAACACTCAAGGGTAACGATCGCTGACAACTGCGGGCCACACCCCAGACTTCAAATACCCGTGGGTGGGGAGTGGGTATTGTGGCTTCCAGCACCACCCAAACTGCCCCATGTCCAGGACCACCGGCCTGACTTTTGCCATCGCTGAGAAGTTCCTATAAAATCATCTCCTTCACACTTTCCTTTCAACCTGTATCCAGGGAGAGGCTCCGCTCACTCTGGTCCTGTGCAGTAATATCTGAAACGCACAGGGCTGATGAGCTGGTGACACTTTTTTTTGGATATACTTGAACTGCTTTCAGGGATTATTGAAATAAAAACGTCTCTGCTTGCCGCCTGAGGTCGTCTCCGGTGGTCACGGTGGCTGGCGTAAACCATCTCCGCTCCCTGCTCCTGGGAGCCGCTGGGAAGGACTGGGTTCACAGGCACCAGCTGGTCCCCTGGCCCGCTCCCTGCTTACCCCCCTCTCCCATCTACCGGCCAGGGACCTTGGACGGGCCCCATGGCCACCCTGAACCTTGCTTACATCATCTGCCCAATGATTGTGAGGAACCCAGAGCAACACAAGGGCTTGGCAAGTCCTGGGTAAAAGCCAAGCTGTCCTAAGGGCTTGAGGCCCCGTGCCCAGGTGAAGACGTTGAGCCTCAGAGAGGGAAATGCCTTGCCCAAGGTCACCCAGCGAGGAGGCGGCAGAGCCTGAGCTGGTGCCGCGGTCCAAGTTCTTCCCCCCGCCCCCCAAGAGCCCTGCGCTCATCCCACCACGATGCTCCCTCTGTCTTCCAGGATATGTGTGGGCCTCTGGAGAAACAGCACAAGGAAGAAAAAGAAAAGCAGAAGGAAAACGAGGGGTCATCGGATGACAGAGCATTGGGTTAGGAGCTCAGGGACTCTGGGGCCCTTCCTCAGCCCGAGGCCCGCCCTTTGTACCTCAGGTCTTTGTCTCAGCGGCATCAATAAAGCTTCTGCATTTGAAGCAGGCAGCTTGTCCTTCGCTCATTCAGTCACTCACTCACACGTGTGGAAGACTGGCCTGAGCTGAGCCCTGGCTCCTCCCCAGGTCAGCCCCTGCCCTTCTGCTTGGAAGAGCCCCCTGCTGAAATACCCGGCACAGGCTGGAAGATGACAGGCACCCAGCGCAGGAAGGGGGAGGTTCCTCCTGTGGCAGAAATCTGGGAAGGCCTCCTGGAGGGGGCATCTGAGCCAGTCTAGAAAGATTTGGAGCTCACAACCCCTGCTGTTCCAGCTGTCAGCTAAGGATCCGAGAGGGTGCGGCTTGAGAAACACGGAGGCAGGAGGCCCTGGTAGTTCAGGTGAACGGGGGCGGTGAGGAGCCCGGCGCGGGGTACCAAGCATGAGGGACCTCACCTTAGACATCACCCTGGCCACCTGGGGAGCCCAGGTGGGAGGGGCTGGACTGGAGGCAGGCAGACTCTGGCAGAGGCTGCGGGGAGCATGCTGGCAGTAGGAGGGGTCCTGGGGGGGGGCAGGACGGAGAGACGCAGAGACCTTGGGGCCAGGCCAGAGCGCCTGTGTCTCCACGAGGCACCCTCACAGGGCCCGCCTGACGCCCACAGGGATATAACGAGGGGTGCGGTTGGCCCCTAGAGACCGGCCAACCTGCAAATATGTTTGGAGCCCTCGAGATGTGGCCACGTCCAAGGCAGGCCCACTTCGGGGCACAAAAGTACTGAGCACCCAAGCGGGGAGTCCAGCCACCTTCCAGACCCGACGGCTTCGTGATTCAAGGCCACGTGAGGGAAGCAGACCCACTTAGTGGCGGAAAACCTGGGGCCGCGTAACCTCAGGCAATTCCATGAGCGGGTGGCCCAAGCCGTGGGGAGTGTCGCGGCCATGACCTTGGCGCCCGATGCCCAGCCCTGCGGCGATTGTACTGCCCCCTCCCGGGCGCCACCCTGCAAAGACCCAAGACCCCAGCACCCTTGGCTCAAAGCAGGAGCCACGCCGCACCCGGGGCACTGAGGCGGGGGATACCTCCCTGGGCCCCTGCCGCTGTGCCCTTGGCTCCCCGCTCCCTTCCTCGTACCCCTGGAACAGCCTCTTGGCATCCAGGAGGCTCAGAGCCTACAGGAAATGTTCCCTTCTCGGCTAACTGCCATTGTCAAGTCCGCTGAGAAGGATCAGCTGGAAAATGAAACAGAAACGGTCCCGGAGGGCAGGGAGGAGCACGCGGAAGGTGAGGGAGATGGAGAGCGAGCCACGGGTAGCAGGAGTCGGGGAGATAAGCTCCTGCAGGTTAGGAAGAAGAGAACAGCAAAGAAAATGGATTTCAGAGTCAGGCATCATGAGGCTGGGCAGATAGCCCATGGGGACCTCGGCCTCTCATCCACGAAGGAGGCCCATGGTGGGGGTAATACTTAGCTCAAGAATCGGCATTCAGGGGCGCCTGGGTGGCTCACTTGGTGAAGCGTCCGACTTCGGCTCAGGTCATGATCTCATGGTTCGTGGGTTCAAGCCCCACGTCAGGATCTGTGCTGACAGCTCAGAGCCTGGAGCCTGCTTCGGATTCTGTCTCCCTTGCTCTCTGCCCCTCCCCCACTCACACTCTGTCTCTTAAAAAAAAATTGGCATCTAGTGGGTGCTCAGGAAATGGTGGCTGATATTTGCTACTAAAAGGCGCACTGGAAAGGAGAGTCTATTCTGGCCCCAGTAAGAAGGGGTTTGGCCGGACAGCCTCTCCAGTCAACAGGGTAGGGTCCGGAGACAGGCATAGGGAGAAAGCTGGAGAAACAGTAGCCTCCAGAGGAAGGCGGGCAGGGTCTGGAAAACTGCATCCAATAGGCCCCCTGGGGGAAGGGCTTGGCTCGTCATCAAACCTTCCTCCCCGCAGAGCTGAGTTAAGAAACCACAAGTCGATGTCACACCACAGACGTGGGCGGCTTTGGGAATGTTTTTTTTTTCCTTTTTTTTTTTTTTTAAAAGATCAATATTCATTCTTCTTCATTTCCCCTTATAACGAAAATAGACTTTTAAATGCCTCAAATATACAAATATCACTGATGCATACACATTCCAGAAAGGCTGAGGTTCACGCTGCTACAAGGTAGGAGCAAGAGACAGGCTGGCCTCCAGACCAGGGCCTGGCAGGGGCTAGGCCGCCAGCCAGATTCCACAGGGGTCCCGGGGACAGCGCTGGGGCTCTGGGGATGAGGTACAGAGAGGGACCATGGTGCACAGCTTCCTGGGCCCCCCTGTGCGTGTCCCCTTCCCAGCGGGCCGGTGGGAAAGTCCTCTCCAGAGGAGCTGGGCATATGTTATCCTGGGGGCCCGACATCTTGACATTTTGATGGTGTCAAAGAGCCCAGCTGGTCACCAGTCAGCAGGAGGAAATTCCCAGAGATGCCCACGCTGGAGGGGCTGGTCACAGGCGAGGAGACAGGTTCGTACCAGAGACTCCGGCCCTATGCCTTCTTATCTGGCCTTGTAGGTTGGATCTAAGAGCAGGGAAGCTCAGTAAAAAAAAAAAAAAAAAAAAAAAAAAAAAAATCTGTCCATCTGTATATAAAATACATATTATTAGCCAGAGGTGGGCAGTGCAGGGCCAGCAGACCCCGAGATTGCCTCCGGGCAGAAGGTGGCCTCGGGCTCTGGGGCTGGTCCCCGGGCAAGTTCCTTCTCACGATGCCCAGGCCCGCACCCCAGTGCTCGGGAGGGGACTGCGGGGACCCGCAGGCCTGGCTCCAGCCGAGTCCTGGCCTGGGGGACAGAGCAGGCAGCCCGTCCACCTGTCCCCCCCCCCCCCCCCGTCCGTGTCTGAGTCTCCAGAGCCAAGTCAGAAGAGGCAGGAGCCCCTGAGGCTCCGGGCCTGGCGCAGGTCGGCCGACAGGGAGCGGCTCATGTGTTTGGTGGTGGAGCGGATGCTCTCGGCGGCCCGCACGGCTCGATTCAGGGCCTTGTTGAGCTCTTCCAAGTCCGCCAGGTCCAGCTGGACGGAGTGCCGGTGCCCCCGGGCCGGCCGGGGGGAGGCTGCGGGGGGCCACTCGGCGGCGGCTGCTTGGGGGGAGGAAGCTGAGGTAGGTCCCGGAGGCGCATAGTACCTGAGGAGAGAGGAGCCTGCGGTCACTCAGCACGGAGAGGGCTGGGCAGCTGGTGTCTTATTCGTTCCGTGGGCACCGTGACACGGGTCTTACGGGCGGGCGAAGAGAAGCTCGAGAAGCTCAGTGAGGCAGGGGGCCCGGCGGCAAATCCTAGCCATCCCGGGCGGCTTCCCCTCTCAAGGGCTCTTCTCCCACCTGAAAGAGCCACACTTAGCTCCCTCCCAGGAGAGATCCGATAAGAAAAGTGGGGTGAAAAGCTCTGGGGGCTGCCTGGCCGCTCTAAGTGCTTCTGCACACGTCAGCCCAGAGCCAGAGCGCTGGAAGGGGCGGTGCCGGACTCACACCCAGAGCTAATCAGCACCAAGTAAGGCCAATACACATCACCTGACCCGAATGAACAGGCTTCTTGAATCCAGTTCCTTCCTCTGGGGACCGACAGGCGTAACCACTGGGTTTACACACATCCCTACCGTTTAGTAATCTGATGACCAGCTAGCTTGGCCTGAAAGCCGTCCAAAACTCCCTCGGAGGCAGAAGCTACAACGGTCCCCCACCTCCTGGCCAAAACCCAAAACAGAAAACCCTCCCGGCTAGAAAGCCTTTGGCGCGGTGGCTATAAGGCATCTGGCCAGCAGGTGGCAGCACCGGCCCATAAACTTTCTAAAGGGCACCCTGTCATTGAGCATGCTCAGTCCTGCTGCGGGCAGAGGGAGCCTCTTCAGGGCATCATCAGCCCAAATTCTAGTAGCATCTAGAGCCATGCTCCCTTACAGGCGACGGGGGCGGGATGCACCTGGCTCCTCTGCCCCCACCAAGTGCTAGCCCCCACAGCGACTCTGGCCGCCTGCTGCCCACCGACACAGGCTTTTGGTGACACGCCACCCGAGAAGGCTCCCAACCAACTCCTTTTACACTGAGGGAAACCGAGGCACGGAACTAGCCAGGCACAGGACAAGAAGACAAGTCTCCTGATTTCAGAGCCCAGGGTTTTCCCCCCTGCACAATCAATCCTGTCCTGTTGAAGCCACCTTTATGCATTTTTTCTTTTTTGCCAATGACCGCGGTGTGCAGTCGCGCTCTCTGCCATGATGGCAACGCTGTGACCCGCACGACAAATTCCACAAACGCCTCGCGGGCGTCTGGCCACGTGCCTCACTTAATCCTCTCGTAACTAACCGTGCGTGGTGGAGACCATTACCCCATTTCACAGATGAGAAAATGGAGGCTCAGAGAGGAAGCAGCTTTACCAAGGCCACGGTGCCAGTAAGTGGCAGACAGGGATCGAGTGTAGCTTGGACTCTAACCCTGAACTGCTTCTGCCTCAACTGCTATGTCTTGTCTCTCTTGCCAGAGTTTATATCCAAATCCAGGTTAAAAAGCGCTCATTCTACCCTATGCCTGCCCAGTAGTCCTCAAAACTCCGGGCCGCAGAAACAAGGACAGTCTGAGAAACGGGCACAGCCCAGAGGGGCCTAAGGACCCATGACATGAGAATGTGGCATCCTGGATGGGATCCCAGGCCAAGAAAAGACCTTCCGGTAAAAACGGAAGAAACCCATGGGGCGCCTGGGTGGCTCAGTTGATTGAACGACTGACTTCGCCTCATGTCACGATCTCATGGTTCAGGAGTTCGAGCCCACATCCGGCTCACTGCTGTCAGGCCCTCTGTCCCCCTCTCTCTCTGCCCCCTCCTCACTAGTGCTCCCTCTCAAACATAAAAATAAACCTTTAAAAAACTGAAGAAACCTGCATAATCTATGGACTTTAGTTAATAACAATGTATTAATATTGATTCACTAACTGTACAAAAGTATCATATTAGAGTAAGATGTTAGTGACCGGGGAAGCTCTGTGTGTGTGCGTGTGTGTGTGTGTGGGCAAGTGTGTGTGTGTGTGTGGGGGGGGGAGAGGTATGGGAACTCTCTTTACTGTTTGCTCCATTTCTCTATGCATCTAAAACTGTTCTAAAAAATAAAGCCCAGGGCACCTGGGTGGCTCAGTCAGTTGAACATCTAATGCTGAATTTCGGCTCAGGTCATGATCTCACCAATCGGGAGCTCAAGCCCCGTGTCAGGCTCTGTGCTGACAGCACAAAACCTGCTTGGAATTCTCTCTCTCTTCTTCTCTCTCTGCCCCTCCCTGCCCAAAATGAATAAATAAACTTAAAAAAAAAATAAAGCTGGGGCGCCTGGGTGGCTCAGTCGGTTAAGCATCCAACTTCAGCTCGGGTCACCATCTCATGGTTTGTGAGTTCGAGCCCTGCATCAGGCTCTGTGCTGACAGCTCAGAGCCTGGAGCCTGCTTTGGATTCTGTGTCTCTCTCTCTCCCTGCTCCCCCCCTGCTCATGTTCTGTCTCTGTCTGTCCTTCAAAAATAAATAAACATTAAAAAAAAAAATTTTTTTAAAGCCTATTGAAAAACAGTAGGTGTGCATTACTTACTTGCTGGGAAGAGCCACAAGGAAATGGATTCTAGACTCCCACAAGCTTTCCCTGTGAGCTCCTAGGGGGCAGGGCCCTCTGCCAGGCCCCACTGCTGAGCCCCCGGCCCCCACCCAGGCCAAGCACTCTCCCTGGTATGCAGGGAGCACTCAGGGTTTGTTGAGTGACTGCACGAGTGTTCTGCTTGTTCTGCACATTCCACACTGGGGGAAAACACAGAAGTAAGCGACGCCCGGGTTCTCAGTGGCCGGACACAGATCTGAATGCAAGTTGCGAAGCGAGTCAGGGGCCAGGAAGGGGGGGAAGGGGAGTTCTTACACAGTGGCTGACGGATAAGGCATGATGGGCACCGAGGAGACGTAGGCAAAGGCAGGAGGGGCCGGTGCTGGGGGCGTGGCGGCCAGATACCACAGTCCAGGGGGCGGCCGGGCCGGCGACCCTGCCTGCTTGCTCCGCTGCGAGGGGCCAGAAGCTGAGCGTGCGTGTGCGTTCCTCTTTGGGGCAGTGCTTTCCGGCCCTGCGAGGGAGGGACACTGGAGAGGTCAGTCTGATCTTGAGGAAAGCTTTAGAACAGGGAGAACAGGGGGCCCGCCCAGCTCTGCCCTGTTAGAGCTGGACACTGGGCTGGCCATGCTGGCAGCGCCTAGCTTCCAGAAACAAAGCCTCTGCCCAGTTTACTCCATCCCAGTCCGGGAGGGCAGCCACTCCCCCCGCCCTCCCGCCAGGGCCCCCGAACCCCCATCAAGGAGAGCTGGTGTCTGGCTGGGAGAAGGGAGTGAGCGCCTGTCCCTACCAGAGGTGGCTGAGTCGGGGCCATCCGTCTCTGGGGGGCACCTGACTTGACCGCACAGGGGACATCGCAGGGTGTCTGTGGGAGCGGGTCCCGGTGGGTCCCTGGTGACAGTACCACCTACAAGAAGAGGAAGAGAGGTCAGGAGAGGATGACATCTGGGCCAGTGGGCCTGGAGCCCCCAAGCAGACCTCTGCCAACAGGCCACGGGGCTAGCTGCTCTCATCACTCCCCCATTTTACAGACTGGAAAACTGAGGCTCCAAGAGGTTGAATAATATGCCCAAGTGTCAGAGTAGGAAAACAGTGGTGCTCTGTCTGAGCCCAAGCCCGGGCTCTCCCCAGTGCAGCCCCAGAACCTATATTCATTCCTCCACACTGAGTCAGGCCCACTCTCCCTGTATGAGTGGCCCACAATGGCCCCTCGGGCACCAGGAGTCCGGGGGCCCTAAGGGAACAGGAGGGGAGTGGGCACCCTGGTCCTCTTCCCACGCACATCCTCAGCACCTCACCTGCGAGTCCTCCCACCCACCTGGCTGAGTTACAGGCTCCCCGGCCCAACCCTGTGCTACGATCACTGCGTTGTCATTGCTTAGCTGAGTGTTCCTTGGGGAAAGGGCGCAGGGCCCGGTATGGGAAGGCGCTGAATGAACAAATGAATGAATGAACAAATGGAGAGGGCTGTTGAGACTACAGCAAAGGCAAAGAAACATAATGGTGAAGAGCCAGGGTTCTGGGACTGCAAAGTCCTGGGTTCAAAGTCCTGACTTTACCACTAGTAAGCTGTGTGCCCTCGGGCAAGTTACTTAACCTCTCTGAGCCTCAGTTTCCTCACATAAAACAGGCGTAATAATAAGATGGGCAAAACCCATTTCATAGATAGGACTGGGAAGATTACTGTTCGTAAAACATTTAGCATGATGCCCTGTATATAGTGACAGTTTCATAAATCACCGCTCCGCCGTCATCATCATCATCATCACTGGAAAGGGCTTTGGGGACCATCTCCAATCCTTTCATTACAGAGGTGGAGCCGGAGGCTCAGAGAAGTTAAGGAACTTGCCTAAGATCACACAGCAAGTCAGTAGCAAAACCGGGACTAGGACCCAGTATCCATATTCTCTCCCCACGACTCTTCCCTGTTGGGTCTGGTGGGAGGGGCCAGAGTGGAAGGAAGATGGATGGAGGGGAGACAGGACACCATCATCACCACCTGGCCCCCTTCTACTTGCCCCCCCCCCCCCATCAGGAACTTTAGCCATGTCCATGGCTAATCCATGTCACGGTCAAGGAGGGTGGCTTCAGGCAGCAGTACCTGGAGCAACAGGTGTGAGAGCAGGACCCAGGGCTGAGAAGTCCCCCCACGCCCCCTCCCTTGTCTGTACCTTGTCCCGTCACTGAGCTGGGGGCAGGCCCGCGTCCTGCACCCTCCCCTGCAGAGAGAAGCCACAGCTTCTCTGCACGACCATTGCTCCAAGTACCATCCCTCACCTGAGTCCTGGGTCCTAGCAGGTCGGCAGCGGGGACAGGAGACTGTGCCGCCGCCTCTCGGGACGGCCTTGGGGGTCAGAACATGGTACTCCTGGCCTAGGGAACAAACCAGACAGTCAGCTCTTTGCATGATGGGAGAACCGGGGAGGACTGGGGAGCACCTCTCTCCCCTTGCCGACATCCAATCAGCAGATGCAAGCTCATTTAGGCCAGGAAGCATGAAGAGCAATGACAAAGGCACACTTCCCCGACCCCCGCCTGCTGGGTGGGACTGGAATGGCCTGGGCGTGGGGTCAGCTGTGTTCTCCCCCTGTGCTCTGAGTGGCTGCGAAACGGGACGGTCACACGCGGATTTCATCGGCTTGTCGGAAGGACTGAGCGGGGCCGGGGCCGTGAAGTGCCCTGCACCAGTAAAGTGCACGTGTAAAGTGCTCCAGGTTACCGGAAAACTGGACAGATGCTTGGCGCTTCGCCCAGACATGCATCTCTCATCCCCTGCCTTGTGTCCTGCACTCAGCCACGTGGCTCTGAGGTTAACGGCCCTCCCTCCCAGGGCGGCACCGATCCACACCTACAGTGTGCTCAGTCTAATTTACACGCTTACTGTAACCGCTTGTTACTGTCTGCTATGCAGTCGGATTCATGAACGTTGGAGCCACATCCGTATCTGTTTTAATGTTAAGCGCTCTGAAATCCTACTTTGTGTCATCTGAAGACGGACTGTGTGCTGACGCCGAGCTCATGAGACCCTGGGGCACCCTGGAGAATCAGAGCTGAGGCCTGGAGACTCAGAGCTGAGGGCAGGCCAGGGCTAACTGGTTTGGTGTCCACTCTGCAAACAGCAGGTGTTTCACAAGCCTCTTTATGACTGACCAGCTAACGGGGCTTCCCCAGGACCAAGCATGAGCCCTGATGCAGGGCAGGCATCAGAAACTGTTTGCTGCATGGATGAATGAACAAATGTGCCAAGTTCACGGAGGCGGGACTCCCTGGTGCTTCCTGTGTCACAGAATTCACAGACAATGGTATTTCAGCGGCCCATGGCGAAACGGGGAAGGCTTCCAGGATGGGGGAGTCCCCCCCTGGAGGCAAGGCCACCCCTGCCCCCAGCCCACCTGTGTACTGGCCCCAGAAGGTGACCCTGTCTGGCCGCCTGGTGCTGCCTGCTCTTTTCTGTCCATCCTGAGCTGCCTGCACACTGTCCTCAGAGGTCCGGCTCTTCTCAGACAACAGCTGCGGGGAGTTTGGCTCAGATTCGGAAGCTGAGGTGGAAAAAGAGGAGTGTCAAGGTGGGGGGGGCGGTGCCACACGGCTCAGGGAGTGGGAGAATCTGGGGCAGAGCTTGGGTTTTAATCCTAGATCTGTCCCCAAGTAGTATCAGTGGAAATCAGACGGCAATCCCAGGAGGCGGGCGCTATTATTACCGTCCAATTAGCTGTCCCTTTAGCTGCACAGAGCAGGTAAACAACCTGACCCAGGTCACCTGGCCGGGAAGGAGTGAGGTGGGCTGAACCCTTCTCCTCCTCCTCCTCCAGGCAATTCTCCTGCACCTTCTGGCTTTGGTGTCTGTATCTGCAGAGTGCGGATAATGGACCCACCTCGCAGCGAAGACGGAGGTGAGATACACACAACGTCCTTACAGAAACCCTGGCACGTAGTAGGTGCACTAGGTGTGCAACACACAGTGGCTGATACTGGAAGTGTTCTTCAGGGCACGCCGGTGCCAAAAACGACACACAAAACCTTCTCCAGGTTTCTCCCGAGGCTGGTCGCTGACCACTGAACTAGCAAGCCCAGAAGTCTGTGGGCTCCAGAAGTCAGGGTGGACAGGTGACCACTTACTCAGGGACAGCAGGGGCGCCTCCCGAGGCACAGAGGAGGACCTGGCTCGCCGCCTTCCTGCGGGCTCAGCTTGTTCTGCACCTGCAGGCTCACCAGACAGCCTCTCTGTGGATTTACTAGCAAAGAGGAGAGAGAGAGAGACGATGTTGCTGGATGAGGTTTGACACAGCCCTTAGAGACGATTAGCCGGAGAGCCACCCAGAAGAATGCTGACATCATCATGGGAGGGGGGCAGGGGGAAAGTCAAAAACGAAGACTCTGTGAGTCAGACACAGAAAGTGGCTCTGAGCCCCTCTGACCCTCAGTTTCCCCATCTGTCAAGTGGGGATAACGACAGCAATTACCTCAGAGGGTTACGGGAAGGATTAGTGAGACAATGTCCATAAAAACCTGAACCTCGGTGCCCTCCCATAGAAACACTCAGCTGAGGTTAGAAGCCATCATACACGAGTAGCCAAGGAGTGAGCGGGTGGACATCCTGGAAATACTCAGCTCTTCACATGGGTGATGAGTTCAGGTTGTGCATTAGATATTATTTCATGCAGCAAATATTACATAGGACAAAAATGGAAGAGTAGGAGAGGGGTGTGAGTTCACATGTCTGGAGAGACCCAGAGGCAGCCAAGTCTGCCTTCTGCCACTGTCACCGGCGCACAAGGTCAGGCATTTTGGGGTCACCCACCTGCCACAGTGGGAGCCCCAGGCGGCTGAGGAGTCTGCCAGCCGGGCCCGGGCCCGGGTGGGGTGGGGGACGGGGGTCGGCGGGCGCGTGAGGCTGGCCCGGGGCAGCTGGTGCAGGCTGTCTTCCAGCCGCAGACGGAGCCGACACACCTCCTCTTGCAGCTCTCGGATGGCCTGGCTGGGGTGGGGGTGGGGACAGAAACGGAGAGCAGATGTGCAAGCCACTGAGCCACAGCCGCCGGCACAGTGCCGCGCGGACGCCCGGGTCTGGTCCCTGTGCAGCAGGCACGGGGCCTCTGATTCTGGAACTTCCTGGCGTGTCCGCTTTTCTTGCTACCGATCACGTCCCTGCACAGCTTTGAGGATTAGCTCACCTAACATGCAAGGTCTCTGAGTTGCTGCTCTGAACACCAGGGACACACTGCCATGATGGAGAGGAGGATGCAGAATAAAAAGGGCATGAGCTGAAGGTTCACTTTAAAATCTGACTTCTGAACCCCCTCCCCGGGGTGCCCTCCCTCCTTCTACCTCTGTATGTAGAAATGGTATCTGCCAGCCCAGGTCCGCTTCCTTCCCACCCTTATTATGCAGCCCATCCCTCCTGGTTTCCCCTAAGCATTTCCTACGTTTCAAGCCCCATCCGTCTGCGGTAGCAGGAGATGCTTGTCTGTCTGTCTCCCCAATGACACTGCGGGCAGGCCTCCCCGCCTCACAACCCCTGAGGCCCTCGCGCCTCATAGATGCTCACCGAATGTTCTTGAACTGGACTCAAGGCCCCAAGAGGGAGCAGAGGAAAGGTGTGAGCAAGCAGAGAGGACAAGGGGGCATCCCGGGGCTTCCCATCACCGGCCGAGTACGAGCAGGCTGGCAGGGCAGGTGCCATCTGCAAGGCTGCTTGCCATCCATGGGGACCCCCAGATACAGCCCAGCCTCCTGCTAGCAAGCTGGCTCACTGAGCCACTAGCCTCTTCGGAGTAAGTACTGTTTGCACTGCTCCCCAACCCACCCCTGCGTCTCCAGAGCTCATTGTGAAGTGCTGCAGCCCTGACCACAACAATACTCGCCTCCCCCACAGGCCCGACACCCCCCCCCCCCCGATGCAAACCCCCTACCCACGGAGCGTCAGAGTCTGGGCCCGGCATGGCCTGGGCGGGGGGCAGACTCTTCATCTCCTCCCGGGCGGGGCTCCCCTCGGGGCGACTTCTTGCTTGGTGGCCCTCCACCCGTGGGTGAGCAAGCGTCTCCTGAGTGTGCCAGAGGGAGCCGAGACTCGTCTCCAGTTACGCCTGGGTGCAGCGTGTGCCCCGGGCAGCAGCCGGGTCTCCTGGCAACGCCCCCTCCCCCCCTCCCCGAGACGTTTGTTAGGGGTCTCCAAGGTGAAGTTAACTCCTGCACGCTCAGCTGGGAGGCAAATCCAGCTCGGGTCCCGGCCGAGGGCGGCCGAGGGGGGTGCCTGAGCCTTGGAAAACCCACTTGGGTGTCTCTTGCCCTATCTGCTTCCATCAGGGTCTCAGTCTTCCTGACTCAATTTTTTGGTGACAGGGGGCCAGCTGGCACTTAGAAAGTCCATCATTTCCTGCAAACTCTTTCCCCTCCTCTGAGATCCCCCTCTCTGTATCGGCATCCAACTGGTTGGCCAGCCAGGAGTCTGAGTCATTCCAGACCCTTCTCCCTCCCTGAACAGCTCACCCCAAAGTTAACCGGCTCCCAAGCCCTGTGGGCCCAATGCCTAAATGGCTCTTCTCCAGTGTACCCCCCCTTCCCTCCGACTGGCCCCATCCTGTCTGTCCGGGGTGGGGCAAGCTTCCTGGGGCCTCTCCATGTTTCTTGTTCTCACCCTGCTAGCGGCCAGAAAGCTCTTTCTAAAACGTGAACCCGACCTCATCACTCCCCTGTCTAAAATCCCCTCCGTCCGTCCTCAGCTGCGTCCGTATGCATTTGCGAATATTCAGTGCATCATTTCTCTGAGCCTGTGTCTCCTGGTCCACTTTTCCACTGCTCAAGCCCCACTGCCGCATGCACACCTGGGGATCCTGATAAAATGAATGTTCGGCTCCGCAGAGGTGACGGGCACTCGCTCACCTCTAGGCCTTTGCACCTGCTGTGTGCCCTGCTGGGAACACTCTTCCATCTCTCTTCTTTCAGGTCTCAGCTGAGATACCACTTCCTCCGGGAAGCCCTCCTGGAAGCCTCTCCCTGGGCCAGATGTCCCTTCTCTGTGTCCCCTAGGAGCCTCTGCCACCACCATACTCCTCCTGGGGAGTGTGACCATCTGCGTTTTCATTCATCCTACAAGATGGTGACCCTTACCAGGCCAAGGGCTGTCCTGTCCACTTCCCAGGGCCTGGTGTCTCACTGACAAATAGGCCCAGAATCCCTACGCTGGTGTCACCAGAGCCTACAGGAGCACACGTACTAGATCAGGCCTAGAAGCTGGGTCCCAGCCCCAGACCTGCCTTTGCACATAGTGACGGTCCCACGACGGCACAGGCCAGGGGGCCTCCCATGGGCTCCCGCAAAGCAGTCTTTCCTGTGCGAGGGGACGGACACCCCAACCTGACAAAGGCCTGTGAGTGACAACTGGCCAAAAGCAACTCAAAGGAGAGGGAAAAGGGCCTGACCAACCTACTTTCCCACTTCTGTCCAACAAAGCGAGGAGCGACTTTCTTAGCAAAGCAATTGTGCTCAGACTAGAAAGGAGTGAAAAACAGCCTCTCCTGAGTTCATACAATGAAAGCGCCCACAGCTGAAAATGTGTCCCCAGGAACCTGCCTTGGGAGAGAAATGTAGGGGGTTGGGGGGGTGGGAAGTGAGATCTCGGCACCAACAAGGTGAGCCTCTCGGTCATTTCATACTGGCTGGACAGGTGTCCTCAGAGTCCACATCAGTGAGGTGCCACGGAGTGGCCCTGAGCCCGGAAACAGGACACCCAGGGCCACGGCTGGATGTGATGGCTGAGCTTAGCCCCTGCCTCCCTCGGGCATCACGCTACCGCGTCTGCGATGGTCCGACTTACTCTCGCCCCGTCCTGGTGAGGAGGATGGTGCGGGTGCTCTCCGTCGGCCCCGGGGGCAGAGCGGCAGCTTCAGGGGCCAAGGTGGGCGGCGGGCTGACGGTAGTGCCGCGGGCGAGCTGCTCAGAGATCCGCTGCCGCCCCTCCAGCTCTGAGCCGGGCACCGCTAAGGAGGCAGAAGGAGACGAAGGTGAGTGTGGCCAGAGAGGATCCCTGAGGCGCGCATTTCCGGGAGTGGAAGGATGTGCGCCAAGAGATGGTGTCAGCTGAGGTCATAATTGAAGTTCCCAATGACGTCACTGGCCCACTGACCTCAGAACCAGATGTGTGGCTTTGGCTGGGAGCTCAGAGTGCAAACAGAGGCCCGCGGAGCTGCCCCTACGTAGATTTCCCCCCAGCGTCCACCATGCCAGCACCACGTCTGACTCTTCAAGAACCTCCCCCTGTAAAGAGCTCATTGCTCCTTCCCACACACCCCCACACCCCAGCCTCCACCTAATGTTCTGCGGCTGGCTCCAGAGCCCCCCACCTCCTGCTAAAATTACCGACACAGCTTTGCCTGTGTGCGTTTTTCTGGGGAGACTGTTCAGAACTTTAACCTTTCAAAGGTATGGGCGACCATAGGTTAAAAAACCCCTGACCTGGCCCACGCATTAAAAACAAGGAGCTCCTGGAACCCTACTCAGTAACACAGAAAGGAACAGACTATTAATACAGGGAACGGCCTAGACGAACTTCCGGAGATACGCGAAGCGAAGAAGCCAAGTCCAAGTGCATACATAGGATTCTATTTATAGAACGCTCTTGGAATGACAAAGTTAGAGAGATGGAGGAACCTGAGACATGATCAGGAGTTCAGAAGGGAACAGACTCGTGTGTCTAGGCCAGTAATCTGCACCATGGTTTTTCCAAGAGGTTCTCACTGGAGGAAACGGGGTGAAGGGCTCATGGGATCTCCCTGGATTATTTATTACCGCGACACGTGAATCCGTCACTAATTGAACTTTTAATTAAAGTTTAAGTTTCAGAGTTTTAAATGATGAGCTTAGAAAGAAGCAAAGCCGGTCTGAGGGGGAGAAGCCAGCACCACGATCACTTTCAGAGGGTGGGGATGACTGGGAAGAGCTTAGGGGAGGGCCTGGGGTTCTGATCGCGCTGTTTCTTATTCTGTGTGCATCCTGTGAAAATTCACCAGTGTACGGTCTTTCCTGTATGTTTGTTTTGTTTCACTAAAAAGCTTACATGCATTGTTTTACAGATAAAAAACTGAAATCACAGAATGTAGAGACGTGGAAAGCATTCTTAGGGGGACAAAAGAGGGTATTAAGCATTCCCATCCAATATGTTTTTGTTTTCAGTGTGTGTGAATAAACACATGCACATTGGTATAGAAAGCTGCTCACAGATTCGACGCCAGAATGTAGCAGTTTTCGGCATATATTTTTTCTCTCTCCCCTTTGGTCTGCCCCATCTGTAGTTTCAAATTTTCCTACAGTGAACTCGTATGATATTTTAGATCCTAAAGGGTAAAGTGGTACAAGGTTTTTGTTGTTTTGATTTTTCAATCTGGGCCCATCCGGCTACCCCCAAGTTCTGGCCAACACAGATGTATCCATCCACTCACCCATCTGGGCCACCGGCGCCTGCTCCTGGCAGAAGCTGGGTGTCCTCTGCCGCAGAGGACTGTCCCGGCCAGAGGGTCGCCTCTGAGCTCGTCTCCTGGGTGTGCTGGGCTCCGCGGATCTTCTGGGGACTGGGGGGCCCCTGGTCTGCGGGTGGGAGACTTTGTCCCGGGGCTCAGATGCGGCAAAGGGCTGGGCCAGTGCTCCTGCAGCGCTGAGGGGCCGTGGCGGGAGAGGCTTATTGAGATCGCCCCGGCCTCCAGTCCCTCTACACGCTACGCCAATGGGCTCCTGACCTCAGGGTGTTTCTGAGGACGCGCCCCCGTTAATACATGCATTTGTGTATCAAGCCGTACACCTGCCTACCCACAGGTGCAACATTATAAAGCTCAATTTGATTTTTGGAAAATATACAAGGAAATAGAATTCCTAATCCTTTCTTCCCATGCAGCCACAGGCAGCCAGGCAGGCCTCCTGGAGGAGGGGGCTGCACCCAGCTTTGGAGGTTGTTGTCTACATGATGGCTTGTCGCTCCACCCTTCCCCGAGTGCCCTCCCCTCCTCAGCCCTTGCTTTGGGGGTCTAGCCCAGTCCATTCCCAGGTAGTTGCCCCGATTGCCTTTTACTTGTCTTCTGTTCACCTCCCACCACCCACTCTGTAGATCTTCATTTATTTACCATTCAGTCATTCATTTGCTCAACAGATACTTATTCCCCAGTCTGTCGCTGATTGGCCTGTCACTGATTGGCCAAGTGATCCTGGGCAAGTCGCTTTCCCTCTCTGAACCTCCGTTCCCCTTTATCGATAAGATGGGGGCGAGGAACTGTGGGTGGGGGATGTGGTGGGGGCTCTGAGAATGCCCCGGTCATTAGCCCCTGTTCTGGGCTTACGACATCTACTCCCAGGTTACCTGCTGCGTGCAGCACTGATGGGGAAGGCGGGGGGGAGGGGGTACCTGATGTGTGAGAGCCGGTGCTCTGGTATGTGGGTGAGGGGCGACACCCTGCTGGTTTCCGAGCCTACGAAGCCACTGTCAGTCTCCGGGGAAGCCATCCAGGGCTCCTGCAAGAGATGGTGTCCCTTTAAGTCCGAGGAATGTGCCTGAGGCGCACTGGGGAGGCCTTCCAGAGACCTGGCCTGGACTTCACATTCCAGAGGCTCACAGGCCTGGAGGCTGGCCCAGCCCCTGGCGGCCAGAGTCCTCAGGCACCAGGACCAGCACCAGGCCAACAGCAGGGGCGCTCCATGTCCCGAGTGACCCTGAGCAAGTCCTGCTTCCCTGAGGCGTTGAGGAGGCCCTCGGGGGAGGCACCGTAGCAGATTTCCGGAGCTGAGGAGGAGGGGGAGGAGAGAGGGAAAGCCGTCTCACTGTGGGGACGGGATTCACATTTCCACACATCTTCCAGCTTGGGCCCGGAAGGCCACGGTCCTGTGTGACTGCAGAAATGCCCAGGCCCAGTGAATCGGGAAAATAAAATTCATCAAACATGCACACCTCCTCAAAAACGGGTCTCATGGAAGGTGCAAAAACACACACAGGCAGGATGCAGGTGCCTGGCCTCAATGGGTTGGTGGTCTAGTGCAGATTCCTTACTTCGGGCTCCTCAGGGCTACAGGTGTGCGTGTGCGTGTGTGTGTGTGTGTGTGTGTGTGTGTGCATGCACACACACACATGCATATACACGCATTATTCTATGGGAGGATCCACGGCATAAGTCACATTTCCGTCGTGATCTGTGACTCCTGCAACAGCTTAACAATTGGCACTCTAACGTCACAAACAGGCCATGGAATCAAGGACTATGCCCCCATCTGTGCTAAGCAAGCTCAGAGAAACACAGACAGTGGGCTGTAAGCTCTAGGAGCGCAAGAGCTCCTGGCAGGGGGAGAGGGGGCCGGGGAGCCGCAGCAGAGAGGCAGCACCGGGCACGAGCCCTGAATGCTGGGGCAGAATTGTGCCTGGCAGAGATTGGGAACAGCCGGCATTCTGGAAGGGTGTGAGCAAAGGCCCGGGGGCAGAAGTCACGCCCCATGTGGGTGCTTACCTCTAGGTGGGGCCCACCAGCGTGATGCAGAGACTTCTGGGGAAGGTGCTCAGAGATGCCGCTTCCCTCTAAGCTGGTCAGACTGCTCTGGTGGGAAGCCGCAGTCTTGGTGCCCCGAGGGTGCGGTGGCCTGCCGGGGCCCGGGGGACCTGTCTCGGCCTCGTCTGGGTCCTGGAGGTAGCCATCTCTGGCCATGGGCGCATGGAAGCCCGCCGGCGTGGAGGATATCATCTGCTCCACAGCCTCCCTGTCAGGGGAGGGGAGACACAGCACGTGTGGGCTGGGCAGCCCTGTCCTGGGAGCCAAGCAGAGAGGGCCGCAAGCGTTGGGGTCAGATACCCTGGTTTTGTCCCCGTCTAGCTGTGTGGCCTTGGGCAAGACACCTCCCCTCTCTGATCTTCACTTTTCTCCTGTATAAAATGGGGAAGACCCACAAAACCCACCCAGCACACGACAGCGGAAGTAGTGTAGTAGACGAGCTATCATTTCCCAGGGCTCGGGAATCTGCACACTATCTTCCCCATTTCAGCCATTTCAGTAAGCTCCATCTACTCAAAATTATAAATGGAAGATCAGACAGAGGCTGACTTGGGAAACAGAAGAAACATGAACACACTATTGTCATATTCTAGACAGATCCCCTTGTCTGCTAAAGGCTCGCCTGGGCCTGAGGCCTGCTCATTTGTTCTCGTTCTTTTTAAAGGAAGATCGAGAGAGGCAGTGAAGCCACAATAACACGGAAACTTTCTCCTGGAAGGACTTGGGGGGTCTGAGGCTGAAAAGGACAGTGGCGTGTATCTCATGCTGCGTCTGGCCTGCTGAGAACCACATCCCGTCTCACCCAAATCCCTTCTTTCCAGGGCTATCGACGGTATACAGCCCGCGCGCGGGACAGACCTGGGTAACAGGCCGGGGAAACCACTTCTAAGCCGTGAAGAGCCGTCTAGCTCAGCGTGACAATCTCCACCCCTGCGGTTTCAGAATTTGGGGGGACAAGGAGGGGAGGCTCAGTGACATACTTGAGGGGGGTCCTGTGACTTCTTTCAGCCGGTGCTGGGAGCTGCCTTATGGGGATCCTGGTGGCCTCTGATTTTCTTGGAGCTGGAGCTGGTCCGTCAACTTCTACCAAAGGGCCCTGCCCCTCCTCCTCCTCCTCCTCCTCTTCCTCCTCCACCTTCATGGCTTCTGGGAGGGTCTTCACGCTGAGGTACCTGAGGAACACAGAGGAGCATGACTTCTGCCCAGCAAGGCCAGCCAAGATCCAGTCCCTGGGCCACACACCCTGGCCTCTCACCCTGCTACTCACCGCTCCAGGAGGCCATGGAAATCCTGCCCCGTCTGCAGCTCCTTCGGCCTGAGTGGGGCCGGGAGACCCGGTGGCCCGTCCTCCGTCTCACTGCTGGCAGTGCTCAGCTCCTCATTCACATGCGATAGGCAGGGGCCGCTGCGAGTGGCGTCAGGCTGGGCCAGAAAGGTGGAGGGACAGAGATTCAGCAGACACTTTGTAGGGACCTACCTTCTACCAGCCCGTGCGGGGTGCTGAAGAGTAACAGGTCAGACTCACTGACTCCATCGCCCTTTCCTGCATGTGCGGAACATAGGGACTGGCTCGTGCGATCTTCATCACTGACTGCCATTAACTGAACACCTACTACACACCAGATGCCGTACAGACATCACTTCACAATAGTCCTACTGGTACATATGGCTTTTACAACCCATTTTACAGACAGGAGACTGAGGCTCAAATGATTTGCCCAAACTTGCAACAGAAGTGAGGGGCAGAGCAGAGACTTGAGCCCTGATTTCCTGCCAGCCCTCCTCTCCTGACCTGCTCCGTTCCTGTATGGACACCCAGCCCCCCAATACCTTCACTGTGGGAGCATGGGACCCCTCAAGATGACGCACTTGGGGATTCACCTATTAGCGCATGAGGTGGCACCTGGGGGAGTTTCCACCGTGTGAGAGTTTCCCCGACATCACGGGGCCACCAAGCCCTCCGTTGTCATGGCTACCTTACCAGTGCCCAGCCCTCCGCCGGCCCCCGCCTCGCCTACCATGCTGGCCCCTTCTCCTGCCCCGGTCCCTAACAGACGTGCCTTCGCAGCACAGGGGGCAAGCCACGGAGACCCCACTACTGCCACCTGTGTGGCCACTATGTGACCACTGTCCACTCACTCTGCTCGACTACGCAACACAAGCCATGACTGTCTCTCTTGGGGCTGTGATTTGGGCCAGACAGACTTCTACAAAGTCCGTTCTGTGCATGGCCCTTGCCTAGTGTCTCCGATCTGTGCACAGTCCCCGGCTCCACCTAGCGCTACAAGCCGGGCGCTCGAAGCCATCCCTGTTCCCCTTCCTCTCACCACCACTGCAAGGCCAGGCAAATGTGCCTTCTAACCCTGTCTCAAGCCCGCGCACATCTCATCATCTGCTCTCCTCCTTCTCCCACCGACCTGCAGACCCTCTTTCAGTGCCTCTGCTGAAAACCCCAGAAGGGCTGAAGGCCAAAGCCTTGACGTGATCTGCCAGCCCCTATGTCATGGGGGCCCCGCCTGCCTTTCTAGCCACAGTTCCGACAACTGCCCCCTCACCTTCCATGCTCTAACCACAAGGCCTTTGCACAGGCCATTCCCCCTGCTGCATGGCTTCTTTTCTTCTGCGTGTAGTGATTCCCACTCATCCTCAGATCTCATTAAAACATTTCTTTCTCAAGGAGAGTTTCTCGGGCCCTCTCAACTCAGTCATGTTACCCTGCTAACTCTCCTAGGGCCCAATAATTCTCCTTCAGAGTCCTGAGCAAAATAGAAGTAGTTCAACTAGACAGCAAACTCCATGAGTATAGAGACCACCTATTTTTACAAGTTTATTTATTTATTTTGAGAGAGAGAGAGAGCATGAGTGGGGGAGGAACTGATCGAGAGAGAGAGAGAGAGAGAGAGAGAGAGGGAATCCCAAGCAGGTTCTGAGCCCGATGTGGGCTTGATCTCATGAACCCAACATGGGGTCTGATTTCACGAAATGATGAGTTCATGACCTGAGTCGAAATCAAGAGTTGGATGCTTAACCGACTGAGCCACCCAGGTGCCCCCTCTCCCCTGCACCTATTTTTGTTGGTTGGTTTCCCACTGAATTCCCAGCACGTTGTCGCCCGTGCCTGCATATGGGACACACTTCACAAGTATGTAGTGAAGAAGACCTCTAATGAAGAAGAGAAGGAAGGAACAGTCCAGCACGGCTGGGCAAGCAGTACCTGAGGGCAGAGGGTGCGGGTGGCGGGTGTGGGGGCCTGTCCTGAAGGAGAAGGCGGGCGCGCTGGCTGGCATGGGGAGGCCGTGGAGGGGGGGCTGTCCGGAGTGGAGTCCGGCCCGGCTCGCCCGGGCTCAGGCTGGCTCTGCTCCATGTGGTCCCTCAGCTCCTCCAGGCGAATGCCCAGCTGGAATATCTCTTCCTCTAGCACCCTGGAACAGGGAGACACCAGCACCCGGGGCCTGTTACCACAGCAGCAGGTCTGGGAGGCTGTGCCCCAAAGCAGAAATCCCAGAGGGCCCACGGAGGGTCCAGTTAACATCCCAGTTTGCGTCGTGTGGAGAACTCGAAAAAGCAAGGTGAAAGGGTCCCTACTGGGATGGGGCGGCCTCTGCCTGAGTCCCCCTCTGCGACCAACTTGCTGTGGGGCCTTGAGTAAATCCCTCCCCCCTCTGGCCTCCTTCCCCTGCTCTCTGATGAGTGATTTCAGGTCTCATCTCCAAGGTCAGGTCTCATTGCAATGAGTCTAAAAGGACACACGCTTCAGCCTTCAGATGTTCCCCCATCTGGACACATTGCTCACTGGGGTAGGATTCCTCCCTATGCCTGTAGTGTATGAATTATGAGGACGCGGCGTGCCCCTCCTAGGGACCGAGGGAACCAGGAGCCCCCTCTCAAGCACGCACCTGCTGGGATCAAATGTCCCCGGTGTCCCCCGGGGGCTGGCCAGCTGCTGCTCCCTGCGGGCCTTCAGGTACCCCTCCTCCAGGACAGCGTGGGCGGCCTTTAGCTGCTGGAAGCCCTGAAACCAGACCAGGCCCGGAGGCCCTGAGTGCGCAGCCCCAGAGCACTCTGTCCCTGCGGGTACAGCAGACAAGGTAGCCCATGGTGGGGCGGGGCAGGAGACCCATCCTCTGGGCCCCCAAGTCCCTGGAAGGCTGGGGTCAGGGCTCCCTAAAACCTGCCTGCCGCTGTCTAGCTCTCTGCCATCAGACTGGCAAGGCAGAGGCACGGCTTCGAGCCTTGGCACCCACTCCAGAGAGCCAACCCCTTCTTTGGGGCTTCACAGACTCCGCTATGGGGGACAGAGCAGTGGTCAGGAAACTCCAACGGTGTCTCCCGAAGTCGGTGGTACCTTGAGCTGGTCCTGGGGCGTCAGCAGTCCTGCCCGCATCAGCCCTGCGAAGGACTCGACCTGGACGCCGGGAGGGGAAGCAAACAGTTAATCGGGACCCCGGAAGACAGTCCGGCAGGTCCCCACACTTAGCCACATGCACGCTTGGGCACCAGGAACTGGGTTTCAGGATGTGGGTTTCCTGCAAAGCACGGAAAGGCAGATACCAGACATTGCCTCCACTGCTGGCCTTGGCCTCGGCCACCTTTGAAAAGTCCAAGTGGAGCCTCCCAGAATTTATCAATGGCAAAGACACTCATTCATGTGCACGAAGGTCTACGACACAGGATGTTTACCGCAGCATAATTGCAGGGGCAACGGGAAACAATCTGAAATCCTATCTGTGGAATAGTATGCAGCCGTCAAGAAGAGGAAAGGATATGTGTCTGTGCTTGTGGATAAACTAAGACCTACTTTTCAGTGTCAAACTGAGGCATAGGCCAGTCTTTGTAATAACTTACCATCTGCATAAAATATAAGGAGAAAAGGGAACAATAGAAATATATTTGCTTATATATTATAAACTACCTCTAGAAGGATGCAAAAAACATTAATTGCTTCTGGGGCAGAGAAATGGTTGGGGGTGGGGAAGGGATGGGAGGAGGGATTTCTACTACATGTATCTTTTGAACTTTGAACAGAGTGAATTCATTGCCTCCCCAAAAATAAACACTCAACTTCAGGATATTAAAAAAGTCAAGGTACAGCATAGCGTACATATTCGTGTGACCATTTCTAAAAGCACACGTGCGGTTGAACATTTTTGCATGAAACAGAAGGGCGAGTATGGGGAAAAAAGACTTCACTGATGCCCTCTGTACTAAGAGAGGTCATTACCATGTGCATCTAATTACCTTCATAAGGAGGTGCCTGGGTGCCTCAGTCGGTTAAGTGTCCGACTTTGGCCCAGTTATGATCTCAAAGCTTGTGAGTTTGAGCCCCACATCAGGCTCTGTGCTGACAGCTTGGAGCCTGGAGCCTCCTTTGGATTCTGTGTCTCCCTCTCTGCCCCTCCCCTGTTCATGCTCTGTCTCTCTCTCAAAAAATGAATAAACATTTAAAACTTTAAAAAAATAATTACCTTTACAAAAAAAATTTTTAACTAAGAAAAAAAGACAAAGGATGATTTGGGGCTTTCTAGGAAAGCTCTAGATTAGTGCCAACGTATAGATTAGTGCCAGAGTATTCTATAAATAAATATGGAAATTTATTTATATTACGTAATTTATATAACATATAAAATAGAAACGTAATGCAAGCTACCTACGCAACTTAAGATTTTTCTTAAATCAAAAACATTTTTTATTTTAGAGAGAACCCGATGCAGGGCTCGATCTCACAACCCTGGGATCAAGACCCAAGCCAAGATCAAGAATCAGATGGACGTTCATCCGACTGAGCCACCCAGGCATCCCTGCAATTAAAAATTTTCTAAAAAACAGAATTAAATTCTAAAAAGTAATGTAAAAGATAAAAATGTAAAAAAGAAACAGGTGAATTAACGTTAATAATGCATTTTATGGACCTAAAATATTATTTTTGACACATAATCAATGTAAACAACTACGAACGAAGTATTTTGTATTCTTTTGTCACATTATGTCTCTGAAACCCACTGTGTGTTTTACCCTCACAGGACGTCTCAGGTTGGACTGGCCACATGTCAAGGACTCGACAGCCACGTGGCCTGTGGCTCTGGGTCGAACAGTACAGCTCTGGGTCATCAGGGGTTTGCTGGCGCCCCCGCTCCTACTCAGCGTGATGACCTTGGCTTTGCTTTATAACCCACAGGCCGAGAAGAAACATGTCTTCAGGTATGGAACTCAGGACGGCGGTGATAAAACAGGGGAAAGTATGTGTTCAGGTTACCATAATGGATGAGCTTGAGGAAGCCAGACACAAAAGGACGGACATTATATAAACCTATTTATATAAAATGTCCAGAAAAGGCAAACCCAAGGAGACACAGAGTAAATGAGCAGCTGCCAGGGGCGGGGGGTGGGGGGGAAGGGGAATGGGGAGCGACTGCATAATGGACAGGAGTTTCTTACTGGGTAATGAAAACGACTGACCGCGGAGATAGTTGCATGACTATGAATGTAGTAAAACCCCCGAAGCATTAACTTCAAAGGAGTAAATTGTGTGATATGTGAATTATATCTCAACAAAACTGTTAACCAAAGAAGGATTGTTGGTATTTCTCTGAAGGAATTTGTTTTATGGCCATGTTAATGTATGTAACTGTTGTGTTTCCCTTTTCCCACTGACAACTAGGAAGCTCAAAAGCAAACATGAGCCTGGTAAAGTGTTCAGGGTCCAACAGGACATTTTGTTTATTCACTGTACACTAAGCTCACTCTATTTTTTTCTACGCTTACTTCCCCTTTGCCCCGTTTTCCCCACTTCCGTTTTCAGAATGTGGTTATCATGCATGTGTTTTCTAAGCTGCTTTAAAGCACGTTTGGCATAAGGCCAGGTGTATAGTTAAAAATAGATCTACAAACAATTCAGTGTTATTTGGACTGTTTGGTGAAAATATAAAGGCCCTTTGAGAAGAGCCTGAGAATTTATTTCTGTAATGAAATGCACTAAGAAAGTGGGGTGACTTATCCCAAAGAGGAAGAGGTGGAGTGGAAGTTCTGTTATGCTTCCAGAATCCTGAACGAGCTGAGAGTCTCCCCGAGGGGGGAACCAGGAGACACTCTCAAGCCCAACTGGAGGGAGTCTGATGGGACATAGAGCCAAGAAAAGGAGTGAAACCCAGCACTGAGTGACAAGGAGGAGGCTGTCAACCACGTGGCCTCTACACCAGAAGAGAGAGACCCACGTCTTCAAGATGGCCACTTCCCCTCCAGCAGGGGAGAGCCCTGCAGGGAGGGTCTCACTCAAGCAGGCAGACACCCTGCTTCCACCAGGTGAGTTACGTCTCCCTCGTGCAAAGCTGGGGCTCCCCTCACCTTGGCCAGGAACAGGCTGGCCTGAGAAGCCAGCGCCTGGGTCCACTCTGCTGACAGCGGGTCCTGGGCGATGCCTGGGCTCTCCTGGGTCCGCTCTGCTGACAGCGGGTCCTGGGCGATGCTTGAGGTCTCCTGGGTCCGCTCTGTTGACAGCGGGTCCTGGGCGATGCCTGGGTTCTCCACAAGCCACCCTGGGGCAGATGAGGAGGGGCTCGGGTCTCTTTGAACTGATGGCCACCCTGCAATACACAACCACTGACTGCTCGGGCCAAGAACTGTCCTTCCTGGCTGAGGGACCAACACCAGACCTCAAAACCACACCCTCCATCATCAAGCTACATCCGTCATATGGGGATCACACTGTTTCACGGGACCCAGGAAGTGGGCTGGGCAGCGTAGCCCCCAGGGGCAGAGAGAACGAGGTCTAGATCTGCTGCAGATCACATGGCTGGGCCTCTGGTTTTCCAGTCAGCAGCTCAGGCTTGAACTCAGAAAGAGAGGGGTTCGAATCCCCACCCCACCCCTTTCTGCTTGTAGCAGTGTGGCCTTCAGCATGCCCTCGGCCCGCCATGCCTTGGGGCCCCTAACTGCCAGTCAGGTTGATATGGTGATTAAGCGGGATCCCGATCCCACACAGCAAGCTCCAAGCAGAGCCTGGCACCCCCCCAGGCTCCCAGTGACAGTGCTCTTTGTGATGCACTGGGCCCACCATCACCCCTCTGCTAGGTGCAGGGCTAGGGCCCACCCCCAGGCTGCTCTGGCCCAAGGCAAGATGGTTCCTGCATCTCCACTTGACCTCTTCAAGTCACAGGTTGCAGACGAGGGCCTCACTCCCTCCCTCCCCTGACCTGAAGCCAGTGTCCCCCTAAGGTGAACCAAGGGCCCTCAGAGCAGAGTCACAGGCAGAAGGCCCTCCAGTCACATTTCCTCTCTGACTCACCTGAGGCCCCAGAGGCCTGCAGGGCTTCGGGCCCCGACCACCGCTCCACACACTGGGGCTGTGGGATGGTGAAGGACAAGACCTTGGTCCCCTGGGGCACTGTCCCCTCATGGATGCTGTGGCTGGGCTGGGGCGGGTCCGAGTACAGGTTCACCTGTCACGAGGGGAAGGCATAAGCACAGCCAAGTCGGGGTTGGGACAAATCCCCCATAAGGCCTCACCTTCATTCACACCATCACTCAGGCACTCAACAAACATGCCTTGTAATAATCAATACTACGTTTTAGCAGAGCCCTCGGGTGGGGGCCAAACAATTGGGCCAAGAACATACGTGCCCTTTCATGTTCTCTTTAGGAAGTTCTGCTGGGGAGGCAGGGCAGAGACTATCATCCCCATTCTACAAGAGGAAACTGAGGCTCTGGTTAAGTCACTCACTCAAAATCTCCAGCTCTGAATCCTTGGACTGAGAATATAATCCTGCTTTGACCCTAAAGCCTATGGTCTTCCATGTTAATAATTTTAAATACTACTTGTCATAATAATTTACAATGGAACCACGATTATAATTAATATAGTACTTACATATAGCAGGTATAATTATAATCATATAATAATATTTATTAGTAATAAAACATTTCCGGTAATAACATTGGTAATAACAGCCACTAACGGTGGCTTGAATGGATGAATAAGCCAACGAGTGAACAAACTAATTTCTGAGCTGTAGCAGATCTCCATCATCTGAGGATGGATTTCAAATGGTAAGTAGCCCGGTGTGTAAGAGAGAAGTCTGAATTCAGGCAGATGGCCAGGGAAGACCACGTGAAGCACTAAATTAAGGGAGACTCATGTACGGTGGTCTAGTGCGAAGGCTGGCAAACTATGGCCCGTTTTTTTTGAATGATGTCTTGGTGGATGCAGCTATGCTTGTTTCCATATCACTATGGCTGCCTTCGTGCTACAACGGCAGGGCTGAGTCACTGCCACCAAGGCTACATGGCCCACAGAGCTGGGGACAGTCACTAGCGGGCTTTACCACTGTCACTTTTGAGTCTGAGAACAGGGGATTTCTCTGTGCACAAAGTGAGTGCTCAGTAAACAGCAGCCACTACCCTCCTATTCATCATCACCGTTATTATCCCTACTACCATCATTACACACCACCATCACCATCACCATCATCACCAACACCATTTATAATGTCACCACCATCTTCACCTTCACCACCATCACCACCATCATCACCATCATCACCATCACCATCATTATCACCATCAACATCATTATAACCATCACCATCACCACCATCATCACCATCATCATCACCACTGTCATTTTTACTGTTGTCATGGAGGCAGGTCCCTGGAAAAGCTACTCCCCTGTGGTCCCTCAGCGCCCCTAGCTGGCCAGCCAGCTTATCTTACTGCTCCCTGCTGCCCCAGGGTCAGGAGAGGGCAGTTTAGGGTATGCCTGATAGAGGGAGCTCCTAGCCCCCCTGAGCAGGCAGCCTCTCCCTGCTTAAGCTGCTCTTCACGTCCTGCCAGTGGCAGAAAAATCTACTCCAAAATGAGGGACAATGGCCCAGCGTGGCCTGGCCCCCCTTGCCTCCCCCTCCTTCAGACCCAGCCTCTGATGAGAACAAAGCTGGATTTTAATAATCCTCTCGGCCATCTGCTCAGACCCGCCTGTGGGGGCTTGCCCACCAGCACCCCTTTCCTCCCACGGTGACCCAAATCTGGGGAAGGCCCAGCCCTCCTGCATGCTCCCGGAGCCCCACCCTGCGCCTCCCCCAGCCTCAGGCCCACTGAGGCCCGGCCTGGGGAACTATAGGAACATGCATGCTGTTTCTACAGAGAAGCCAAAAGCCCCTGAGAGGCCTGGGAAGGGGGAGGCGGGGTGTGAGTGTGGATAATCTGAAGCTGTTCGGGCCCCTCCCTCTCAAGATCTGTCCCTGGACAGGCCAGCACCCACCCCAGTGCCCCAGGACGCCCCTTTTCAGCCAGGGCATCCTGTGGAGCTCCGGGAGGCTAGATTAGCTCCCTCAGGGGGGTTAATCAGTGAACAGAAGACAGGCGAGTGTGGGAAACTCGGGGTTAAATAACTGACTAGTCTTCGCACAGATGGGTTTCTCACAGCCTTTAAAATGCTAATGGGCTTTATGAATGGAGTGAGGAGGGGGAGTAGAGAGAATAGGCAATGTTTCCCCAAACTTCTCCATGCCCCGCCCCCCCCCCCCCCCACAGGCTTCTGGACCAAGTAGTGGTCATCAGAACACACATTTTAGGAAAGACAGTTTTATGTCACCCCACTCCCCCTTTCCCCTGACTCTTTCTGGGGTAGTTTCTGGTCTCCTTGGCCCCTCAGGCCCCCTTGCAGCTGAGCCCAGGGACAGCAGCTGCGGGGAGGTGACTGCTGGGCAGCAAATCAGTGACATCACCATCGACTGGGGGGGGGGCGGGGCGGGGAAGGAGAACTGAGCCTGGCAGCCACTCCCTGCCCCCCCACTCCCTAGCCCAGCCTTCAGACACCCTGTCAGCCTCCCCGGTTGGACAGCACACCATTACCTAGTCAGGTCCTGCTAGAGAAGGTGGGGTTAACAGTGGGCTTTGGAGACAGACTGCTGGGCTCAAGCCCCAGCTCCGGCACCTGCTTGCTAAGCGACAGGCACATTTCTTCCCTTCTCTCTGCCTCAGTTTCCCCAGTGGTGAATCACCCAGGACAGCGGTCAGTAGACCTCACCGTCACTACTACTATTATCACTGTAACATCATCATCCTGCCTTGTTCGTGTGCCTGTGCCACACAGACGGCCCCAGAGCACACAGAGGTTTAATCCCCAGCTGTTAATCCCTTATAGGCTGTAGGGTGTTGAGCAAACCACTTGGCCTGGCTGTGCCACGGTTTTCTCCTGTGAAGGATTTCAAGTGAGGTGACCCGGCTAGTGTACTTAGCCTGGGGCCTGGCACCTTTAACAGCTCACTAAATGCCAGTCCCCTTCCCTGCACGCCCACCCATTGCTGCCCACCCCCTGCTGGGCCGGACCGGGTGTCCTCAGGGCAATGTCCCCAGCCTGGCTGCCTCCCAGATGAGCCCGCCCCCTCCTCCCTGGGCTCTGAGCAGACAGGGTAGGGGGCTCAGCAGGTCCCCAGGGAGTCCACTGCCACCAGCTCAGTCTGAGGGAGCAGCACGGACCCCCTGGTGAGGGCTCTGAGCAGGAAGTCACTCTGGGGGCTCCTGAGTCTTCAGGGTAGAGTTTATAGAGCTGAGGACAGGGTGAAAACTGGGCTGGGAGCGGCTCCCCCAGACCCTGCGGCGTCCCCTCCCCACTTAGGCTCTGGGAGGGGGAGCCCTGCCCGTGACCCCCGCAGGGCAGCTGGGAGATTGGGGGACCACGAGAGAATCATCCTGCTTCCCGTAGAGCCCGGCTGACCTGTGCTCACCCTTCTTTTGAGGAGAACCCCCCAGCTAAGGAGTCCTTGTTGCAGAAAGGGAGTGGCTGAGCAGGTACGGAACCACCCCGGCCTCCCCCCTGCTCCTCTCACACACAAGACACAGGCCTGGGTGTCAGCCAGGACGAGGTGACCACCCACGCGCTCCATATACTGACTCGGTTCTCTTAAGTGAGTAAAGGAAGCAAGAAGAGGAGGGAGGGGATGCTCCAAGCTCTTCCCTGACCTTGAACTCTGGCCACCTCTGCCCCTCCTGGGCACTCAATTCCCTATCTGTTAGATGGTGGAGCTGAGGGTTTGGACCTAATGGCCACTTCCTTTCTCCTTGGAGCTTCTAGGAGTCCGCAGTCATGCGGGCACAGCTCCCTGAGGAAGGGTCCTCACCAAACCCCACCTGTGCCTCCCCAGTGTCCCCTGCCCTTCCACCTGGCTCTGGGTCCATAGTTCAGAGAGTGAGAAGGAGCCTTACGACATTGGGGGGACGCCACTGACTCCCAGGGGGAAGGTCTGGGTGACCCCCTTTCACAGATGTGCCCAAGAAGGTCAGGGTAGAAGGGACCTGCCTGTGTCCTGGGGCAGGTATGGGGACGTAGGAGAAATGCTCCTAGAGCAGGACTTCCGTTTCCCATCGTGGCTGCCTCGGGGACACCTCACAGGAGTGCCTGGAGAGGCCTGAGAGCAGCCTGCGGCAGGGGAGGTGTCCCAGGGCATGATGGGGACCGGCCAGGTGGGGGCCCTGAGAGAGGAGGCCAGCGAGAGGGAAGGTCGGCCTCTCTGCACCTCAGCTCCCACCCCCTCCTCCACTGTGGCTTGATGGGGCAAGAGGGGGCAGGGGAAGCAGGAAGCCACGAAGGGCTGCAACAGGTCCCACTTCCTGCCTCACCCCCAGAAAGGGGAAGGTCCCAAGTGTAGAATTCATAGCCTCCTCCCAAGTCGGGTGGGTGTTGGGCAGGATGGGGGTGGATGGATTTCCCCCTCCTCACTCCCCCTGCCACACACTGGACGTTAGGTCAGGTCGGGGGAGAGTGGAGGGGGGAGGCTGTGCGTGAGACATTCAGGAAGGATCAGACCCAGGAAATAAGCATCAGGAGCTGAGCAGAAACTCTGTGCCGCAACCTTGAGGCTCAGAGAGCCTGAGAAACTTCCTTGAGGTCACACAGCTGGTCGGTAATGGAGCCAAGAGTGGAACCCAAGTGCTGCTCTGGTGAAAATACTGGGGGCCCCAGATTCTAGGATTCAAGGACATCAAAGTTCATCAACAATAAAGGAGATAGAGCCCAGAGAGGGCAAGGTCGCTGCCCAAGGTCACAGAGGGACTTCGTTGTGAACTGAGGACTGGGTTCTTCTATCCCCAGGGTCTCAGGAAGCAGAAGCAAAGACCACAGGAGAGTGTCACCTCTGGGTGCCAGGGCCCTACCTCCACCCTACCCAAGCCAGTACCTTGGCCCCAAGGCGCAGCTGGTCGATGGTGTTCTCCGCCTCGGCGTACTTGGTGAGAAGCTTGTGGTATTCCTCCTGCAGGAGACGGAGAAGGACACGGTCACGCGCCTCACCATGAGACCCCTCGTGGGAGCCCACCCCGCAAAGGGCTCCTCAGAGTGCCAAGAGCTCAGTGGTGGGAGCCCAGCAGACCCCGCCAGGCTCTCATGCAACGAGTACCCTGCGGCCATACTGTGAGTAGGACAGGCGTCAGGAGGGGCTGCTCACATCGCTAACGGTGAACCAGGGATGAGGGCCTCAGGGCCGCTTTACCTTCATCTACAACCCCTGTCACTGCAGATGCAGCTACCTGCTCATCTGTCCACATGCTGGCGACAGCTCTGACCGCTCATGTCTGTCAGTGCTGTGGGCTGGGGCCCACCTCTGTCTTCCTCACTTCCCTTATTCCGAGGGCTTCAGGGACATGTGCTTAATCAGTATTTTTTAATTTTTAATTTCTTTTAAATTTATTTATTTTGAGAGAGAGAGAGGAGTGCAAGCAGGGGAGGAGTAGACAGAGGGGGAGAGAGAGAGACTTCCGAGAAGGCTCGGCACGGTCAGCGCAGAGCCCCATGCACGGCTCAAACTCGTGAACTGTGAGATCACGACCTGAGCCAAGAATTGGATGCTCAACCGACTGAGCCACCCAGGCGCCCCTTAACAAGTGTTTCTTTAAATGGTGGATGGAATGAACCATCCAGGGGTCGCACAGATGACTTGAAGATCACAATTGCATGGACCCGGAGTTACTATTTGCCCTAAACAAAACTGACCAGCTTCATCAAACAAGTCACGACAGAGAAAAAGTGAAGACGGAGGGCACCGATCACCTCTGAAGGACGCTGGGGAACGGATGCGTTGTTCTCAAAGCTGGTAATCAGGAGGACAGAATCGAGCACTTCGTCTGTGTTTCCTGTGTGAACGTGACCTTGGTAACCAAATAGCTGATGCGGGAAAATCTGACTTTATAGGAGCTTTCCAGCAAATAAATGCAGACGCAATGATGGCATGAGGAGACTACCATTTTGTCACCTCAAACGGAGGACAGGCCATGGGTGACCACTGACCTCACAAATCAGAGAGGAGCAAGCATCCCATGCTTCCTCAGTGAACCCGCTGGGACATGCTCTTGCCAAACACATCACTACCCGCATGGAGCTCATGGTCTGGAGGGGAAATAAACAGACAACGACATCCCCAAAAAGCTCCTAGCTCTACCTTGGCGATCTACAGGACAAGGAGAAGACAGTGGAACATATAAAGAGATGTGAGAAGGCAAACTCCAGAATATGGGAGACTCTACAGGGCACAACACGTGTCCTCAAGAAATCAAGTATAAGGAAGAGATTTGAGAAAAACGGGGGTCAGAGTGGGGGAGACTTGAAAGGTACACTGATCACAGGCAACAGATGAGCTGTGTTTGGACCATAATTCGAGCCAATTGCAATAAATGAGCCATTTATGAGACACAGGGAAGACTTGAACCCTGTCTGGACATTGGATATTATTAAGGAATTGGGTGTTAGCTTTTAGGTATGCTAATGATATCGATATGTTTAAGATAGAGCCCTTTAGACGTACACATTAAAATGCTTCTGGGTAAAATGATCTGACACCTGAAAGTTGCATCCAAATATTCCAGTGCGGTGAGTGGGGGGAAGAGGTGAGGTCACAGATGACGAATGTTGCTGGGGGCTGGGTGGCAGGTACCTGGGCGGAAGCAGGGTGATGGGTCCATGAGGGTTCATTATACCATTTCTCTCGCGCATATGTTCTGAGTTTCTCATGGCAGACGTTAAAAGCGAGTACACACAGATGACCCTCGTGGCATGAATGCAAGCACTGTTCTTTCTGAGCAAAGGACTTGGGACTAGCTTAACAGCCCGGACACAACCCTCCATCAGCTGGGGATTCCTGCTACGTCCTCCCACCCAAATCGTCTCGAACACAAGCCAACAGGCACCTATGAGTCCAGTTTACCTGGAGCTGATGAACCAGTTTGGTGGCTTGTTCAGGAGTCTGAAATTCTTGGGGTACCCTAGTGATGGGGTGGGTAGGAGGTGGGTCCTTTCTCGGGCAGGCTTCGCCGCTGCTCAACAGCACCTCCCGCACGATCTCAGCAGGTGATTTGAAGACCAGCGGCCTGGCAGGACCCTGAAGCTGCCTGCCGTGGCTCCTGGCCTTGGGGGGCTGGTAGCTCTCATCTTTGGGGAACCTCACCCGGGGTCCCACCTTGGAGAAATCAGGGAGTGGGTAGTTCAGCGGCCCCCGGCCATACTTGGAGGCATCAGAAGATGAGTGGCCAGCCAGAGTGGCCCCCTGCCTGGGCGGCAGCCTGTCTCGCTGAATCGGCCTAGCCAGGTTCGGTGGGCTGACAGAGCCGGTGAATCGAGAAGGGAGTGGCTTAGGTGATGTCCGTGTCCATTTCCGGGCTTGGTCCCTGAACTGAGGGCAGGAGAGGCTGGTCGTTTCTTTCCACTTGTCTGCTGGACGCTGGCGGCTCTGGGTCTGGGGTGCTGAGGAGTCCTGGAATTCCGTGGGGGTTGCCAGAGCAACGCTTCCCCCCGTCCTGGCGTGTGGGTTTAGGAGGCGGTGGCTGGAGCTCTGTGGTAAAGTTTCTTCCGGGGCAGCCGGCTGGGGGACATCAGTTTCTCCTTCCCAGGGAGAATCAAGGCTGTCATTGGGGTGGTCGAGGCTCACGGTCCCACTGCTCCAGGACCTTGCAGAGCTAAAGCCAACCGTTGGGTTGACGTCAGAATGTTCTGGAAGTTTGTCTCCACTGGCTTGTTTGCCAGAGGCCGCCCAGCCTGTGTCCTGACCCCAGCCCACAGCCACGGGGCTGATGTTTCCATTGCCCCCTGAGCTGAGATCAGTCTCATGCTCCAATCTTGGGGAGCTCTCTCCGGCTTCCTCCAGCTCAGGACCTCCGAGGGTCTCATCCGGCTCCCCTTCAGTCATGGCCGGCTGCGGATCCTGCTGGGGGAGCCAGCTGAGGGGCAAGCTGGAACTTTCCGGGCTGTCCACATCCTCTACTTCAAACTCTGGAAAGACAGGTGATTGTTCAGTATGTACGAGGTCTGTACTCACCGTGTAACATTACTTGAGGCAGTTCGCCCCTCTGGGCTTTCATGTCCTCATCGTGTGGGGATGGCACGGAGGCCAGGGATCCCCCCACATGGCCAAGTGCTTACCTGACGCCCCCGCTAGTTGTCCCAGGTCCTCTAGCCCTCATCCTCACACCTGGCAGTCCCCTCAGTATTTCCTGCCTCAACCTCCCATCTAGTTGCACAAGCCAGAGACTTGGGAAGCACTTTGGCCATCTCTCTCCCCCGACTCCCATAATCCATTCCGTCACTGGCTCCTGTTGCTATTACCTCCGACAGAGCTCTCAAACTCACCTACTGCTCTTAAGTCTTGTGCCACTTTTGCTCTAGCCAACATCCTCTCCTGCCTGGACCTCTGCAGTAGCCACCAAATCATCCGCTTTATCCTCACCCTCTTCCTCCGTCAGTATATTCCTGTTCCCAAGACAGAGTAGGGTCCTAACATCCCTGTCTCCATCCCCTAGTAGCCTTCCTGATCGATCTCTCTCCTATCGACCCCTCGGTCTCACTCTGCTTTAGCCATGCCACAACGCTCCCACCACAGGGCCTTTGCAAATGCTGATCCTCTCTGCAAGCAGCCTCTCTCTCTCCTTTTGCCTAGTTAACTCCTATCTGTCCTTCAGGCAGTAGCTCAACCTTGACCTCACCAGGGACTTCTTCTCAGATCTCCTTAACTAGGTCAGATTCTCCCTTTTATAGGACTGAATACACTTTCTTGGGACTGCATCTTTCTACTTTGAAACACTTATCATAGTTTCAGGTTTTATTTATTTACATAACTGGTTCATTAATATTTTTCTCCCCCACTACACTATAACCTCCACAGGGGCAAAGATATCCTCTGGTTTTGTTTACTATTGCATTTGGAGAGTGGATGCTCACTATTTATCGACTGAATGGAAAGAAGGAAAGAAGGGAGGGAGGGAGGACAATAAAGTACGTGAAGCTCCCAGAAAATGGATAGTTTTTATAATTATTATGTGGTAGAAATATGGATAAAAATATCCATCTACCCATCCATTCACTATTCTTCCAACCACCCACCCATCCATCACCTACTCACCCATTGATCCAACCATCCATCGTTTCAATAATCCGTCCATCCAGCCACCCACTCACCTATCCATCACCCATTCACCCATCTATCCATCTATCTGTCCATCCATCCATCTGTCCCTCCCTCTATCTGTCCACCTATCCACCCACCCATGTACCCACCTAGCTATTCATCTATCCATTCACTTATCCAACCATCCATCACCCATTCACCCATCTATCCATCTATCTGTCCATCCATCCATCTGTCCCTCCCTCTATCTGTCCACCTATCCACCCACCCATGTACCCACCTAGCTATTCATCTATCCATTCACTTATCCAACCATCCATCACCCATTCACCCATCCGTCCACCTATCCATCTATCCACTTATCTACCCATCCACTCATCCATCCATCTGCACATCATCCATGCAGTCAATGTTTATTGAGCACCTTGTCCTAGAACCTATGTCAGCCTCTGGGATAGACCCAGAGTTTCATGAGACATGGTCTGGATACCATCAAGTACACACTCTCTGCTCTGGGCTGATGCACCTTTGACATAACCCTGGTTTCACTCTTCGCTCCCCTCTGGCCTCTCCCCCTGGTACTGCTACATCCTTCAACTCCTTAAAATTTCCTTCAGCAAGTCTCTCTTGTTTACAGCAGCACATGTGAAGCCCAAAGAAGTGAAGTAACTTGCCAAGGATCGTGCAGTGGGCTCGGAGTAATCCTGGACTGAGGACCAAAGTCCCAGCCATGCTGGCGAGGTAGTCTCTGCTGTGGTGGGTCAGGCAGCAGGGTGAGGAAAGCAGTCTTTGGAGCCAGGTAGCCCTGGCTTCAATCTTGGCTCCTCTGATCCCTTCCTGGGGACCATGGGTAAGTTGCCGACCTCTCTGGCAACCCTGACTTGGACTGGAGACTAGTCCCTCCTACCTGGCACAAGGTGGTGAGGAGGAAGCAGACAGGTCTTGTGCTCGGCCCAGCCCTGTGGCTCGCACACTACGAGGGCAAGGGACACGGCAGCAGCTATTACATCATAGCTAGGGGTTACCATGTGACCTCAGGAAGAGATGCCCCTGCACTTTCATCCCAGGAGATGCCAGTCATCTTTCCCTGGGGGGCTAATGGCTCTTGAGTGGGTAGCTGTGGGCAAGCCTCACTTCAAGCAGACCTGGCATAAAGAACTTTGGGTCACGGCACTGCCCTACCACCCACAGGGGCCTGCCTGAGTCACAGAATCCTAAGTCAGGGCATCTACACCATGTTGTACATGCAACAGGCAACCACATAGGAGGCTCTTGCTATTCTCAATGCTATCACTACTCCCACTTCACAGATGGGGAAACCAAGACTCAGTAAGAAGGGACCTCTCAGCAGAACTAGGGATATAGTGTAAGCTGGTCTCGATATAAAGGAAACACTTATTTTAGAAAATAAGAGATGCCAACATTCTATTGCTAATTGGGATTTTTAAAAATCTTAAACATGGACCAGGCAACTTAAATTACCAAGATCATGATCGAATCAAATGTGCAAAGATGTTCCAATGACATTCATCTCTGCATTACTTATAATAGTAAAAACAAGAAACCACTTACATGCCGAGCAAGAGATCGGCCCCCAGATTACAGAATATCCACACCTGGGAATTCCTTTGCAGGCATTAGGTGTGATTTTGGGGAAGGGCACCAGGGTGGCTCAGTCGGTTGGGCATCTGACTTCGGCTCAGGTCATGATCTCGAGGTTTGTGAGCTCAAGCTCTGTGTCGGGCTCACTGCTATCAGTGCAGAACTTGTTTAACATTCTCTCTCTCCCTTTCTCTCTCTCTCTGCCCCTCTCCCATTCATGCTCACTCTCTCCCTCTCTCAAATAAAGTAAACATTACAAAAAAAAAAAAAAAAAGAATGTTTTGTGGAGAGATATATGACGAGCTGGGGAGACGTCCATGTCTGCTAAGTCCCCAAAAAGCAGGTTACCCCATCGTTTGTAGAATACTGTTCCCTGTGCATATTACACTTGCATATAAACATACGGAAAGGAGCATTTCTCTGGATAATAAGCAATTTTTAGTTTTTTCTCTTTCTGCTTGTCTCTTCTGATATTGCAGCAATGGACACTACCGCTTATGTAACTCAAATCTTTTACACTTTTAAATTATAGGCTTCATGGATTTTCATTGAAAAAAAAATTACTAAAACACCCTCCAGTCCCCACCTCCCGCCAGGAGGTGGGAGGCTGGGGGGCACCGCTGTGGGGCGGGCACCCGTCTCACCCTCTCCCGCAGACTCTCCGGACTGGGAATCCCGGCACTGAGCAGGTGGTGAGTCCGGGCCCCACACTGGGGGCTGCAGGCATTGCTGCCCCAGCCGGAAGTCCTCCAGGAGCTCAGGGCTGCTGGCACCGGGAAAGGGTGGACCTTTTACCCATACGCCATCGGCATCCTTTTCCTCTTCAGCCCAGGCCCAGCGCCGCCGCTGGGGCCCCTTCCCCAGGCCCGGCTCGGCCCAGCACACCTCCGTCCTGGAGCCGGCCATCGGGCCTAGCCCGCGCTCCTCCCGGGCCACTTCATCTTCAGGAGATGGAGCTGCCACCGCGGGTGCCCGAGTCACCGCTGGCTCGGCTCAGTACTGGCCATGCTGCCTGCAGCCTGTCGGGGACACAAGCAAGGGACAGCATCAGTTCTCCTGTCCCCTCCCTGCGTCAGAGGAACTCTGGAATCGGAACGCCGTGGGTCAGCTTCTGACTCCCACCCCTTGAGGCTGTGTGACCCGGAGCAAGTCAAACCGCCTTCATTTTCTTCAATAAAACTGCGAGAATAACTCCTCTCTCCCTCAAGATTTTTGGAAAATTACCTGAGACACAGGGTAAGGAGCCAGAGTCCACTCAGTACCTGGGCCAGCGCATGCCAGCGATTAGCACCGTGGGCCTGGCTCTGTGCCCACATGAGAACCGAGAGCCCCAGGAGGAAGCAGACGGAGAGGCAGCAGCTACAAATCAAGGTGAACACGACCTAGATGCATGGGGGTTTGGGGGGCTGGGGGGGTGGGAGAGGGGGAGGGGGTGTAGCTTTGGTCCAGAAGCCACTGCCTCCGGGAATCTTTCTGGACCTCCCTCGGGTAAGAATTCGCACAGGGACATTCCAGGACTCCAAGTGCTTGAAAGCAGGTACTCAAACTGATACACGTACATGCACGATCAGAGCAGCACTATTCACAATAGCCAGGAGGTGCAAACAACCCAAATGTCGACCAGCGGATGAGTGGATACATGGGGTGTGGTGTGCACGAATGACACGCTAGTACTCAGCCACTAAAAGGGAAGAATCGACACACGCCACCATAAGGATGAACCTGAAAACACGATCTGAGTGAGAGGAGCCAGGCACGGGTCACATATGGCATGACTCCATTTCTATGAAATTTCCAGAATGGGTAGACCCACAGAGACAGAAAGCAGCCTGGCAGTTCCCTGGGGCTGGGGGAGTGCGGAATGGGGGGGGGAGTGCGGAATGGGGGGCGACTGCTTCATGGGTATGAGCTTTCCTTTTGGGGTGATGAAAACATTTTGGAACTAGATACAGCGGGCGGTTGTACATTATAAATATACCAAGCGAATTGTTTCTTTTAAAATAGTTAATTTGGGGGCACCTGGGTGGCTCAGTCGATTAAATGTCCGACTTGAGCTCAGGTCATGATCCTGCAGTCCGTGAGTTCGAGCCCACATCGGGCTCTGTGCTGACAGCTCGGAGCCTGGAGCCTGCTTCCGATTCTGTGTCCCTCTCTTTTTGCTCCTCCCCTGCTTGCTCTCTGTCTCTCTCTGTCTCTCAAAAAATGAATAAATGTTTAAAAAATTTAAGTGGTTAATTTCGGGGTGCCTGGGTGGCTCAGTTCGTTGAGTGTCCGACTCTAGATTTCAGCTCAGGTCATGATCTCACGGTATGTGAGATAGAGCCCCAGGTCGGGCTCGATGCTGATAGCACAGAGCCTGACTGGGATTCTCGCTCTTCCTCTTTCTCTCTCTGCCTCTCCTCAGCTCACACACACACTCTCTCTCAAAATAAATAAATGAACATTAAAAAAGAAAAAAAGTAGAGGCACCTGGATGGATCAGTTGGTTAAGCGGCCAACTCTTGCTTTCCACTCAGGTCATGATCTCACACAGTTAGGTTCATGAGTTTGAGCACCGAGCCTGCTTTGGATTCTGTCTCCCTCTCTCTGCTCCTCCCCCACTCGCTCTTGCTCGCTCTCTCTCAAAAATAAATAAATGTTAAAAAAAAATAATAAAATAGTTAATTTTATGTGATGTGAATGTCACCTAAATTTAAGAGAGAGAGAGAGAGAGAGAGAGAGAGCATGTCCATGGAGCACAGAGGCGGGGAGGCGGGGGGGGGGGGGGGGGNNNNGGGGGGGGGGGGGGGGGGGGGGGGGGGGGGGGGAAGTGGTCCGCGATGGCTGTGGTATTGGGGCAGGGCCCGGTGCTCTGACAGCAGAGCGTGGCAAGGGGAGGTGGAGGCCAGACCCAAGAGGGCCTCTCGGGTCCTCAGGGCACCCCAGGCAAGGACAGCACATTTAGAAGTTTCCCTCTGACTGCCTGGGGCGAAGGGGCCAGAAGGGGGAGCCTGGCTGCAGAGGACCCAATGACAGGGAAAAAACGGCTGGAGAAGGGCTCCCCTTCCTTCTATCCTCTCCCCCTTCCCCTCTTCTCCTTCTTTCCCCCTCATCTCCTCTCCCCTCCTTTCCCACACAGGCCGATACCCCCCAGGCACCTGGGCCCGTTAGCAGCGGTCTCGTCTCTTCTCGTTAGCTCCTACAAAATCCTTACGCTACAGGTGGGGAAACTGAGGCCCAGAGAGCAGAAGCGCCCTCCTCCGAAGCCGCCCACCTGTCAAGACAAGGCTGGGGTGAACGGTCACCTCACAGCCCAGCCCGGGCTCTTCCCTCCATGCTGTGGAAACCATGGGGGATAATCCTAGGCTTCCCTGGAGGACAGACAGGTCTGTGTCCCAGCAGCCTCCTGAGCACTTGAGTCTCGGTCAGAGGCTTGATTTCTACGGTTGAGAACAGGCAGCCGGCAACTATCTCTGGATAGAATGTGCCCCGGGGAACAGTGCATCATAAGAAAGGCTGCAGCCTCCTCAGAGGGCCGGGGTGAGGCAGGGAGGGAATCCCACTCTACCGCCTCTGGCTGCACCCCTGATCCTCCTCCAGGGCTCTGGGGGCCTCATCGTCTCCCCGCCCCCCATTTTCCTCTCCCCCCACCCCAGAACTTCCTCCCGATCACCCAGCGGGCCTCCCCACGACCCCCACCACAGATGCTGGGCCCCACCCTGTGCTGGCCTGGGCTAGCAGCTATGTTCCACGTTCTCCATCTGCCCTCATTCCAAACAGCAAGGCAGGACACAGGGAAAGGATTTTTCAGAAGAGAAAACTGAAGGTCGGCAAGGAACAGTGGCTGGACATGAAACTACTCATCTGAGCCAGTAATCAATTCTCTATCACAAAACTCATTAGAAAAATAGATTTGCTCTCACACTCTCTCGCTCTCTCTCTATGGATACCTTTAGATACATGATTCCTCATGATGATGTATAGAAAGAAATACATGTATTAGAAAAATTATATCCAAAAATGAATTCTTTTTTCAAAAATTTTTTAATGTTTTTTAAAATTTATTTCGGAGAGAGAGAGACAGCGTGAGCAGGGGAGGGTCAGAGAGAGATGGAGATACAGAATCTGAAACAGGCTCCAGGCTCTGAGCTGGCTGTCAGTACAGAGCCCGATGCGGGGCTCAAAACCACGAACTGTGAGATCATGACCTGAGCCGAAGTCGGATACTTAACCGACTGAGCCACCCAAGCGCCCCCAAAAATGAATTCTTTAAGAGATACAATAGAAGGGTGCCTGGGTGGCCCAGTCGATTAGATGTCTGACTCTTGGTTTCAGCTCAGGTCATGGTCTCATGGTTTGGGAGCTCAAGCCCCCATGTCGGGCTCTGGGCTGACAGCATCAAGAGTGCTTGGGATTCTCTCTGTCCTCTCTCTGCTCCTTTCTCTCTCAAAATAAATAAGTAAACTTAAAAAAAAAAGATGTGGTAGAAAAATCTTTTAAAAAGAAGCTCTAATCCTTGCTTTCCATAGCCTCCGGGAGGCACATACCCCTCTCAGGAATCCTTGTCAGTGGGCCTTGAGCTTGAGTGTTCTTAGGAGTCCTCTAAGAATGCAGATTCCTAGGTGGACCCAAAGAGAGCCTCACTCAGCCGCCTTGGGAGAGGGCCCAGGAATCTGCATTTAAGCGAACGCCCCTGGCAAGGCTTGCCCTTTCGGGCCCACTTTGGCCTTCTGGCCCCTGCTACTCGGAGAGCCATGGGAGGTGCTAAGGGCCACCACGTTTCTCTTCCTGAAATCTCCACTGAGGAAGGGGCCAGGGAGGCATGTGGGTTTTTTTGACTTTTTAAAGGGCTTCCTTCTAGCCTTGCCGCAAAGCCTCCTGCCCAATCACAGAGGCCCCTGGTCACACAGAGAGGAACATCCTGTCTCCTGGGATGACTCAGTCCTCGCTGAAACTCACTGTGACCAGGGGCAGCTGCACGTCAGAGGCTGCCGCGGTCACTGGCAGGAGCTGAGCGCGTGCTCCCCAGGCCCTGAGGCCTGGGAGCCTCTGCTGAGCAAGGCCTCTGTCTCTTCTACGCAAGCCACGGCCCGTGGTGCCTCGGAGCCCGGGGCCCAGCCAGCCACTCAGCGGGTCGGTCAACACACTTGGGCGCCAAACACACACCGACCTCAGGCGGGGATGGGGACCCGCCCGCACTGGGGCGGAGGAGAAAGAGAAGTCGCTGGGCACCTGGAAGCCAGGTCCCAGGCCTGGGGCTGTAGCTTCCCGGTCAGCGGCCGTGCTCACCTTTCCCTCCCTGTAAAATGGGGAGAACACTGCTTGCTCTTGTTCCTGTAGGGGGTAGGGCGGCCTGGGTGGTAGCTAAATGAACCTTGAGGTTCCTGGTTGACTTTGGCTCCTGAGGGCAGCCGCTTGAGAACCGCTAAGCCCCGCCTCCATCCTGAGGCCCCACTACAGAGTAACAAAGAAGTATACTGAACACCCAGTGGGTACAAAGTAACTTTAAAAAATCTTTGATCTTCTACTGTGTGCCAACCACTATACTGTCACAAGGAACACTGGAAAGGGTCAAAGTGTTCCAAAGTTTCAGTGGGGGGAGAGGAGTCGGTGACAATACAGAGGGTTACTGGTGAAGGAAGCACGAAGCTGGGCAAGGAGGATTTAGGGCGAAGAATGGCGGGGGGCAGGGGGGGAGGCATTCCAGGCAGAGGGAACAGCATAGTCAAAGGCACAGAGGTCTGAAAGTATGAACAGAACCTGACAGAGCTGTGGGCAGGGATCGTTGAATGGCAGCAAAGGCTGGGTTGTTCCCGTCAGCCTGCACGAGGGCCACGGGGCAGGTCCTGAAAGGCAGTGGGGTTGGGTGAAGGCCCCAGCCATGCAAACCACGGGCTGAGCCCACAAAAAGCCCTGTGAGCACTAAATCCCCTCAGGTACTGGCCTTCAGGGTCAAGGTCCCTGCCTGCCTTGGGGAAACCAGCCTCACAGGGAAGCATGACCACAACCACTCGCCCCTCCTTTCGTGTGGTTCCTCTCTCCTGCCCTTGGCCCTCTCAAGGGTCTATGAGCCCCTTCAGGTCTCTTTCTCCAGTTCCCGAGAGGGTCGGCCACCCCCCCACCCCAGGGTTCCTCTGCCCACCTCAGCCACCCCAAAACTGAGGACCCTTGTCTTTCTGGCTCAATCTCTCGGGCTCTTCTATGCCAAGAGCAGCCATGCAGCCCACCTGTGCCTCCCCAAGCCTTCTGAGGCCCCTTCTCATCCAGCCAGGGCTGTGCAGGGACCCCTCACTGCTCCCAGGTCCACACTGACATCTCCCCACGTGAGAAAACCGAGTTGTCGAGTGCTGGCTGGCTCTCCTAAGACCTTGCGGACAGGAAGCGCGGCCCCAGGATTCAAACCCAGGCACCAAGGACTCGGAAACCAAGTCAACCCGACTTGGGGAGAGGACAAGAGGAAGGGGAAAAGAAGACTCCCTATATCAAGTGACTAGGCCCCTCTAAAAGGGCTGAGCTCAGGGCCCCAAACTCAGCTGCCCTCTGGCGGGGCACAGACCTATGGTACTCAAAGGGTTCCCACCAAAAAACTAGTTCCGTGTGGAAGCACCAGCTGGATGTATCCTCTCCTGCCCCCTGCTCTCTCCTCATCAGAGGCCGGGGAGAAAGAGGAAGGGTACCCTGGCTGCTGCCCACTCTGGCCCCGCCAGCCTGAAGGGCCGGGCTGTGTCTACTCCTCCTTTGGCTCTTACAGAAGGGGCCGCTCTTTAGTGGGGACCACCCCCCCGCTGCCTCTCTGGCTGCCCTTCATCGGAGCATCACCTTTGAGGGCCCCTAGCAGCCCAGGGACTAACTCTGCATGTGCTGGTGGGGAGGCCCCAGGCACAGCGAGGGACCAGAGCTTGTCTAGGTTCACAGAGATCAGAATCCGAGCTTTGCCTGGGACCCAGCACCCGGAAGCGTGACGAAATCCCCTTGAAATCCACCCATGCCCCGGGGGCCGGACTCCCTAAGCGGGGAGAGAAGTCGTAACAGCTGCCACAGCTGTAACTTCCCGGCTGGGTTGGTCGAGCTGCCCTGACTGTCCCAGAGGGTCCGCGACTGGCCAGCCCAATGGGACGGCGGCCTCCCCCGCCCTCCTTACTCCCTTACCTCTCTCGGGCTCCACCACCATCCTGCTGGCCCAGGCTCAGGGGACCTGCCTGTGAGGTCTTTGTTCCAAACCTGGGGCGCCCCCCGCCTCCATGGTGCCCTGGCCCGCCTCCAGGCCGCTCTGCCAGCCTGAGCTGCTGCTCACAGACCAGCATCGCTCCCCACCTCTCCCCGCCCCTGCTGCGGCTGAGGCCGCCTCGCCTGGGCAGGAAGCGCCCAGCCCGATTTCCTACAAGTGTTTGTCAGAAGGAGGGGGCTCCTCTGCAAGCACAGTGAGAGTCGGCAGGAGGAGCTTAACCCCTTGCAAGCTCTGCGGGTCTCAGGAAAGGATTCGCAGAGACGCCCCACCTCAGCGATTGGGACCATCTCAGCCAAAGTTACAGACCGAGGACACTGAAGTTCCAGAGAAGGTCAGAGGCTGGGCCAAGGTCGAATAGCATGCTGAGCCCAGGAGGAGGCCTCCAACAGCGTCAGCCCCCTGGGGGCCCTTACCCTCTAGGGCGACCGTGGCCAAGGCTCCTTCCCTCACCAGGCCCTGGTGCTCATCTGCACAAGGCGGGCTCAGCCTGGATGCGTGCTGGTACCCTTGCAGCTCCGACTCTGTCTGCTATCCTGCAACCCAATACTTCAGGCAGGGAGGCCGCAGCGCCCCCTGTCGTCCCACCCACCATCCTCCCCCAGTGCTGGGCCCGGGGCTACAGTGGGAGTTCACAGGCAGCACTGGAGGAGGGGCAGTGACTGATCCGGCAAATTTCCCCTATAGTCCTCAGAGCTTATCAGAAGGCAAGCGACCTTTCCCCAAGTTTCCCTCATCCCAACTGTTCATCTGACAGGTACTTGCTGCGCTGCTACTGTCTGCTGGGGGGCTTTCGGGGTACTGGGAACACAGGCCGAGTACTTGCTCCGCCCCACCGGAAACACGGCCAGTACACAAACGTGGAGAGAGGGATGGGTAAAACCCACAGGGGTGGAATGGAGCCCTGATCCGTATCCCAGGCTGCTTTGGGTAGAGCCTGGGGCTCACTCAGACCAAAAGAACCAGTCTCTGGGCATCGGCAATGTTCAAGTGTCCCGGGTGGCCCGGATATGTGGCCTGGATCAAGAATCTGTGGCCCAGAGCAGAAGGGGTTGGAGAGGAGGGTTTGCAGATGGCCAGGAAGATCTCCTTGGGAAGGTGACATTGGAGCAAGGGACTGAAGACAGAGGCAGGAGTAAGTCACAGGAAAGGCCGGCAGCAGAGTATTCGGGAAGGGCAAGTGCAGAGGGCAAGGTGGGGACCAGCTGGGCTTTCCCGGAGCTGGGCTGTGTACCCAGAGCAGAGTGACCAAGAGGGAGAGGCAGGAGTGGGGTCCGAGGGGCAGCCTCCCCACTCTGGCCCCACGGAGGATCCAGGCGTTCTGACTCAGGAAACAAAAAGGAAAAGGAAAAAGTCGGGCCTCTGTATGGTCCAAAAAGCCCTCCAGGCAATTCTGACCAAGCAGCCAGATTTGGGAACCAGCAGGGAAGGAAAATGGATCCTGAGTCCGTGTAGACCTGGGTTCCAATCCCAGCCCCACCTCTTGCTAGCTCTGTGACCTTGGAGGCTTCACCGCTCTCGGCTTGTGTCTTCATCTGTAAAACAGGGATAAGAAGTGCAGCCACCCCACAGGACTGATGCCGAGTTTCAGTGAAGCGAGACCTGTGAACTGCAGAGCTGGGGGGCCTGGAACAGGAATGAATGAATGAACCAACGAACGAAGGAATAATGAACAGACTTTCCGAAGGCTAGCCTGTGAGTATCTGGCAAAGCCAGAGCCAGAACCAGAGGCCCCCATCCCAGCGATCACCCCGCCCCTCCGCCCTCTTCCCTGCCTTCTGCACACATCTGGGTGGTAAGTCTCTCCCCGCAGCCCCCAGCCCCCAGCCCCCAGCCCGATGTGGAGCAGAGCCAAACCCTAATGAGGCCCCTCCCTGCCAGTTCTGGTGACCATGTGGGCCATTGTGCGAGGGGCGGGCTTCCCTGACGGCCTGTCACTCACTCACCCTCCCTCCCTGGTCATTAACCCAGGCAGCACTGCCATCAACGCCAGGTGGCTGCCGCTGCCAGGCACGCCCCGCGGCCCCCAGATAACCCCAAATCCACCTAAGGGGCAGCCGCCTAACACCGAGGAAAGCAGCCCCCCTGGCACCCTGTTCCATCTCTCTGCCCCCCAGCCCCCCCTGCCCCCCAGCCCCCCCAGCGTCACCAACGCTCCTCTCTGCCTTTATCCTCTCTTGGCACACCATCTCCGCCACGGGCCAAATTCTACTTAAAGCAACACGTCCCACAGTGACCTCATGACATCGCCACCCTCCAAACCTGCCCCATCTTTCGCCCGGGGGTCACAAACACAACTGACCATCCCTCTGGACGTCTCCCTCTTCCTTACACCCCATAAACAATCCTATTGGCTTCGTTTCCCAAATCTCACCAGAACCTGCCCCATCATCGCTGCACCCACGCGCGGCTCCCGCCACCGCCTCCCCTGGAAAGCTCCGGGGCCCCTCCGATAGATCCCTCACCCTGCACCACGGTGATCGTTCCAAAACAGAAGCAGGCAAACGCGGTGTGTCTGTGCTGGAAGCGCCTATCCTGCCCGCTGCTCTGAGGAAGAAGCGAAGAAGGTGCTGGCCCAGCCTCTCCCAGTCCTCCTAGCCCCCCACTGTCTCCACATTCCTCAGGGTGCTCCCCACTGTTCCTAGGACAAATGTGCGGAGCTCCCGCTCAACACCCAGCCCCAACTTCTTCTCCCTGGGAACTTCCAGGCAACCTGTAGAGCTTAGCCCCACGCACCCTCCCCGGGATCCATCTGGAATTAGACCCCAGTCAGGTCTGTCTTTCTGGTGACTGGGAACTCTGAAGTGCTCAGCATTATATCCCCAGGGCTCGGCATGGGGCTTGACACATAATAGGAGCACAGTAAACACACTAGATGATCTACTGAATCTAGCCGGTTGCCCCTGGGGTGGCTATGGCCCTCTCAACAAGCCAGGCTGGTGTGACATCCCTATTTTACAGGCAGGTAAACACAGGCCCGGAGAGCCAGAGCCACTTGCCTGCAATCACACAGCTGGTGAGCGCCAGGACAGCCTGAAGCCCCCAATCACCCGCCTCTTAACGCCCTCGGTGCTCACACCGTCGCAGCCTGCAGACATAATTAATACCTGCGCACGATGAAAATGGAAGGAAAGCTTATTACCAACTAATTGCAATTCACTAAGCCAATGTGCTAAATCGATAATGAGGCTCTGGTTCCACATCAAGCTTTTCAGGGGCCTTTTTTTTTTTCTCTTCTATTTTTAAAAAATTTTTATATATTTACCATTTTGAGAGAGACGGGGAACGGGGTGAGAGAGGACAGAGAGGACCCCAAGCAGGCTGCACGCTATCGGCTCAGAGCCTGATGAGGAGCTCAAACTCACCGACTGTGTGTGAGATCATGACCTGAGCTGAAACCAAGAGTCAGATGCTTAACTGAACCACCCAGATGCCCTCAGGGGCTTTTCTCAACCGCTTTCTTCAGTTTCTCAACTAGTCCTTCAGTGCACTAGATGCTTTCAGAGTAGGCTTTAAAAATGGGCAGGACAGGAGCTGAGAGCCAGAGACGGGAAGTGATGAGGTTCTGGTCACCCAACAGAAACAAAGCCACAACGCAATCCTTCGGCCCCCAGCCCTGAGCACTTTTACCAGACACGTGCCCATATACTGCTGCCTCCGCACAGCCCCGCTTCCCGGCGCAGGGCCCATTCGTTCCCTCTAGCCCCTGGGTCATAAGGCTCCAGCACCTTGAAGGCCATCCTCACCGGCTCTCCCACTGCCCATCACTCAGCCACCGCTTCTCTCTCTCCCTCCACATTCCCTCTTGAGCCCCACCTAAGTGCCCAGGATGGTAACCAGAAAGGAAGGTGGGTCTGCCTCTCTCGTTGTGGCCCCAGGATGTGGCCTGGGGCCGGGGTGCACCCTGCTTGTTGGAGTGAGCTGCCTTGAACACAACGAACGTCCTGAGGCCCAGAGGTACAGAGAGGCCCCAAGGCTATCCAGCCATTGGGGGAAATTAGGGGCTGGCAACTTCAGAATTCACAGGGCCTCCCTTCCTTGGGAAGGAAATGAAAACCCTGCCTAAGGTCAATCCCCTCCTTCTGGCCCAGGCTGCTGAATTTACCCTGTCGTCGGAGCCCGCAGGGAACCTGGGTGGTAGATGAGCTGGAAGGACACTGGCCGTGAAGAGCTGGGGAAGCAGAGGCCCACGTTACAGCCTGAGTTCACTGAGCAAGGGCCTTCCCCTCTCTTAGCCGGGAAATCTTGAGGCTTACTGAGATTACTTCTGAGGTGGTCAGAAATGGCCTTCTAGTACTGAATCCCCTAGGCTCTTTGATTCCACCTGCCAGCACAGGTAGAAACACCATGGTGATGGGAGGCTGCAGGGGATGGGGGCTTATGGAATATGCGCTTTGTGGGCAGAGATCTCCAGGTTCTCTTTGAAAGCTGTGTGGCCTTGGGCAAGTGGCTTAACCTCTCTGAACCCCAGATTTCTTTTCTGTGAAATGGGGGTGATACTGACTTCACAGAATTGTCGGGATGATAAATGAGGCTATGTGCCTGAAGTCCTGGGCCACAGCCCAGCTGGCGCGGAGCTCGTGAATAAATGACTTTGGCCATATCCGTGAAACGCCCATATGGCCGGCTCCCTACAGGACTGAGTTTAATTTTTTTGGCTTGGGAGCTTCCCTACTATCAGCCCCAGCCCCAGCTCTGGGTCTTCTACAGAAAAAGGGATGGCCAGCTCTCCCGAGCACGGAGAAATGCTCTCATTTCCCTGTGAGCCTCTTCCCTGTGGCCTCCAAGTGATCTCAGGGCTCACCAGTCCAGAGAGAAAGTGTGTCTTCGCCTTGAATAGTTAAGGAGGTGAGGATGCAGGCCTTCCTCAGCCAACCGCAGCACCGGTGGTGAGGGGGTGTGGCCATACGGAGGAAAACACACACACACGCGCATCAGCACTTGCACACACAGACATCCACACTCCTAAATTCATGAAGTGTTGAACAAGAAAAAGGTGAATGCATTGCTAACAGCAAGACTCTATCACGCGCCTATCATGTAAAGGCCTTCCCGTGGATGAGGATGTCATTATTTAATCCTTATGCCAACCCAAGGAGGCAGGAACATTCTCCCCGTGTCACGGAAGAGGAAGCTGGCTTTGAGCCAAGCTGTGCAAATGCAGACAGCACGGTCTTAAGTACCTGTGACTGAACCGTGCAGCACGTGAAAAGATTGAAAGCAACCTCAGGGTCCAATATTAGGGGAGCACTGAAAGAGAGTATGATATTTCTGCTCAAAGGAATATCATGCAGCTGTTACCAGTCCTACTGTGCAAGGGGGTAGAGCAGTGCGACACGCTGAGTGAACAAGCCAGTTATAAAATCATCTGTATCTAGTTTGAGTCCATTGCAGAGAAAGAACAGTAACATATGGAGGAAGAGACGAAAACGAGGGAGGGAAGCGAGACACAGAAAGAGAGAGAGAGGGGTGCTCTACAATGTTTATAGTAATTAGTACTAAGTAATAGATTATAGGCAAGTTTACTCTTTTTCCTAATGTGTATTTTCTAAAAGTAACAGCTGCTTTAAAAATGAGAGTAAAATGAATATTTTAAATATTCTTAAAATGTTCCTAAAAAACAACAACAACAACACAGCAAAACAAACAAAACCACCACTGCACGCCTGTGTAGTGGTTTTGTTCTGGTGAGCCCTTGGCCATGCCCTGCCTTGGTTTCCCTGCCAGCGCCAAGCCAGGAAGAGTGGTTAGGCGCTTTGAGGCCCTTCGGAGCACTGACGCTCTGTGATGGTCTGTAATTCCCTTCCCACACTCTCTCTCTTCCTCTTTTTTATTTAAAAGTCTGTATTCATTTATTTATTTTGAGAGAGAGGGAGCACAAGTGGGGAGGGGAGAGCAGAGAGAGAGAGGGGGAGGGAGAGAATCCCAAGCAGGCCCCGCACTGTCAGCACAGAGCCCCATGCGGGGCTTGAACCCACGAACCATGAGATCATGACCCAAGCCGAAACCAAGAGTCAGACACCCAACCGACTGAGCGACGCAGGTGCACTCCCTTCCTCTTTTTAAACTCTGATACAACATGCTCTTTTCTGCACATTTATGTAACATGTGGGGACATCTGAAAATCACAAAAGGGAAGGGAAGCGATCCGAGCCTTACCCACTCAACATTTTGGGGCATGACATGTGTTGTCTGATACGGATTCTCACAATCAGGCGCTTAACAGATGAGGGAAGCCCCAGAGAGGTTATACAACTTGCCCATAGTCTCACAGCACATGACAGGCAGAGCTGGATCTGTATCCACAAGTACAGCATTACCCTCCGAATGAATCCTTGACCTAGCGGGGAGCTGAGTGCAGCCTCCTGGCCCCTGATGCCCCTCCTGGTCCTTGGCCCTTGGCTGAGGACTCAAGACTCCACCAAGACTGCCAGCCGGGCATCCCACGCTGGCCCTAATCACCA